GTCCTGTAACATGCCTGGAATTTGTGTAGGCTCTAATGGGGCAGGGAAAGGAGGGTTCCTTTGTCACAACAAACAAGGAGAAAGCTTTTTCCCTGTCTCTTCCATTTACCAATGCCTCATCCGAAGCTTTCAACTCTTGTGTAAGAAATTTATTTTTCTTGAACTTGAACAAACTTAGAGTTTGTTTTAAAATAAGATAAGGCAGAGTAGGAAGTTATATTTGCTTAAATATAGTATTTTTTCTTTATTTCTTGAAATCTCTTAAATTCTTAGCCATGCTCTTGGATATTCTCTGCTTTATATTGTGGGTTCCTGTGTTCTGTGGAAAGGGATTAGCAGGCTTTGTGATATGGGGGATTATTTAAAAACATAACCCACTATGCCTGTCTTTTCCATCTCTCATCTTCTATTTTACTTCTTTTTTTAATAATTTCTCTCTCTTACATCTTACCTTGCCAGATGCTCTACTCAGAAAAAGTGAGGAAGAAGGGGAAAAAACTAAGTTAAAGAAATTAAAGCGTGGCAATACAAGAGTGAATGATCGTGGGAAGGAAGGGGAGAAAAAGCAGAAGGGGAAAGGAAACTGAGATTGCTTGTTACTGGTGTGTTAGGACTCCCAAGGTATCTTTTTCTTGTGTTTTTTTTTGTGAATAGGTAGGGGCTGCCTTGAACTTACTCATTTTTTTACCTGTTCTACTTACTTAGGAAGGGGTGGACTTGGGGGCAATGGTCAGGTAGGAGTCTTTTAAGAAACAATGTAGTTGGGACTTCGTTCTTCTCCTGGCTGTCTTCTAGCTCCTCTCTCGCTGGTGTGTTTGATCCAGTTTAGTGCCATAGGGTCAACTGTGGTACAAGTTTTAGACTCTTAACTGAGTCTTGCTCGGGATGACAATAAAGAGCTGGAGGTTACATGTGAGTATGTGTTTATATTTTAGGGACATAATGGATGCTATTTATATACATTTATGTATTAGAACTATTTGGTCTGAAATCTGTTTTTCAGAATTAAAAGGAATGTGAAATCTGTAAAATGATAGTTTAAACGATGAATTGTAAGACTCTTCAGTGCTGACACATTTCATGTTTTTCTGACTGTGGAGTAGTAATTTTTCATTGACAGTGATTATATGCAATAGTTTTATGTTGACTTTTGTTTTTTGACTGAAATAAGCTGACATTGTGAACAGTTTAGGATAAAGTTGCTTTTGATTTTAATTGGCTTATATTATAATCATTGGCATCTTGAAATTTATACAGGAAAAATAACTTGCCTTAGTGTGTAAAAAGGTTGAGGAGACAGGCATTTTAAATATTCTTTCTTTAATGACTTTTTGGCTTGAGAACACATTAATAATTTTTAATTTTTATGTCAATTCTTATTGTGTGTTATCATTGTAGAGAAAAGAAGGAATATAGTAGCTATCAACTGAAGATATGGGTTGTTGATTAAAATTATATAATAATTTTTCAAGGAAGTAGAGCTGAACTTTGAAGTTTACCTGTGCTTTTTTTTCATTATACCATTATTAAAAATTATCCATGCAGTGTTGGCAAAGTGTTATAGATTAGTTATGTTTATTATTTGGAGGAGTCATTTTCCCTGGAACAGTGCTTTGGTGCCTAGGTGTTGTGGAAGGCTTTTAAGTTGTGGTTGTTTTTATTGTGGGGATGTTCATATAAGTCAGGTGAATTTCGACCTTGCTTGACAGATATGATTACTTGTCCTTTCGGGCTTGTGTTGTAACTACTCATCAGTTATATAATAGATTACTGTTTATATAATAAGAATTAGAGCAAGACATTAGAGATAATTGGTAATGGGTGCAAATAGGCAGTGATGGGTCTGCTAAAAGAGATGGAATAACACAGTTCTTTTTTTTAAAAATATATTTTATTGATTATGCTAGTACAGTTGTCCCATTTTCCCTTCTTCACTCCCCGCCACCCTGCACACCCTCTCCCACCCACGTTCCCCCGCTTTAGTTCATGTCCATGTGTCATAAGTTCTTTGGCTTCTACATTTCCTCTACTATTCTTGCCCTCTCCCTGTCTATTTTCTACCTACCATCTATGCTACTTATTCTTCGTGCCTTTTCCCCCTCTCTCCTCCTCCCACTCTCCTATTGCTAACCCTCCATGTGTTCCCATTTCTGTGGTTCTGTTCCTGTTCTAGTTGTTTGCTTAGTTTGTTTTTGTTTTTGTTTTTGTTTTAGGTGTGGTTGTTAATAATTGTGAGTTTGCTGTCATTTTAATACACATGTTTTTTATCTTCTTCTTCTTAGATAAGACCCTTTAACATTTCATAAAATAAGGGCTTGGTGATGATGAACTTTTTTTAACTTGACCTTATCTGGGAAGCACTTTATCTGCCCTTCCATTCTAAATGAAAGCTTTGCTGGATAGAGCAATCTTGGATGTAGGTCCTTGCCTTTCATGACTTCAAATACTTCTTTCCAGCCCCTTCTTGCCTGCAAGGTCTCTTTTGAGAAATCAGCTGACAGTCTGATGGGAACTCCTTTGTAAGTTACTGTCTCCTTTTCTCTTGATGCTTCTAGGATTCTTTTCTTCATTTTTGCCTTGGCTAATGTAATTATGATGTGCCTTTGTGTGTTCCTCGTTGGGTCCAACTTCTTTGGGCCTCTCTGAGCTTCCTGGACTTTCTGGAAGTCTATTTCCTTTGCCAGATTGGGGAAGTTCTCCTTTATTACTTGTTCAAATAACTTTTCTACTTGTTGCTCTTCCTCTTCTCCTTCTGGTACTCCTATAATTCAGATGTTGGAACATTTAAAGATGTCCTGGAGGTTCCTAAGCCCCTCCTCATTTTTCTGAATTCTTGTTTCTTTGTTCTTTTCTGTTTGGTTGTTTCTTTCTTCCTTCTGGTCCACTCCATTGATGTGAGTCCCAGTTTCCTTCCCATCACTATTGGTTCCCTGTGCATTTTCCTTCATTTTACTTAGTGTAGCCTTCAGGTTTTCATCTAATTTGCAACCAAATTCAACCAATTCTGTGAGCATCCTGATCGCTAGTGCTTTGAACTGTGCATCTGATAGGCTGGCTGTCTCTTTGTCGCTTAGTTGTATTTGCTGTGGAGCTTTGATCTGTTCTTCCGTTTGGGCCATTTTTTTTTTTTTTTGGTCTTGTTGCACCTGTTACATATGAGGGGCGGAGCCTTAGGTGTTCACCAGGGCGGGGCAACCCAGTCGCTGGGTTGTGGCGCTGTGTGTGGGGGTGAGGCCCAAGAGGGAACAAGGGCGTTTGCTCCACTCTCTGTCGGACTTCAGTCCCTTCCGCCATTTCCCTGAAGCAAACTGGGCCTTTCTGGTGCTGATTCCCGTGTGGGTGGGCTTGTGCATGTTCTAGGACCCTGTGGGTCTCTCCAACGAACTCTCCTGTGAGGCTGGGGGTCTCTTCCTGTGCCTCAACTCCCACAGGTGTTTTCAATCAGTGCCCCGAGGCTCTATTTCCCTGCGCTGGGACCCTGGGTTGTGTGCAGTGCCTTGCTTCACAATTGCTGCCTTGCTGGGTCTGCCGGTTGCCACCCCATGCCCAGGGTCTGCCAGCTGTTCCCTGTGCACCCAGGGTCCGCCTGCTGTGGTCTTGTGTGCCCAGGATGCCTTACTCGCCCGATCCCACCGCTCTTTGCGCCTCAACCCCTCTCCGTCTGGCTGCCCGACTCCGCCCCTCCTACTGGTCTGGATGAATGTGTCTGTTTTAATTCTTGGGTTGTCTGACTTCCGTACACTTAAATTTTCTGTCTGTTCTGGTTGTTATTCTGTTTCTAAATTGTTGTCCCTATCTTGGTTGTGCGAGGAGGCTCAGTATGTCTACCTACGCCTCCATCTTGGCTGGAAGTTCGGAATAACACAGTCCTTATATGTAACATATTAAAAGTAAAAGGTACAGTAGTTAGGCATTAGGAAATGAAGAAGAGGGAGAGAATTATTTCTAAGAGTCAAAGGAGCTTTGCCAGGAGTACAACCCCAATGATGGAGGAGTGGAATACCAGCAAATATCAGGGGCCCACAGAACATATCTCCTGAGCGTTTATTCAGTGACAGGAGAGTGAAGTTAGAAGCAAAATACTACAGACTTTTTCAAGTGCCTTAGGGAGAAGAATCTGTCTGAGAAAAAGTTGCACTTCGATGATGGGACAGAGGCATTCAGGATTGAAGGATTTTTAAATAAAACCTATTGCTGGCCCTAGGCAAGGCTGAATTAATATCTATATTTTACGTACTGTGCCTTACATTCTAGTGAAGGCTTTTTGGTTATGAGGAACCGAATTCAAGAGTGCATGGCTTAATTAAAGGGAGTTGATTATAAAGAAATGTTTTCCTGTGTAGGGACCCAGGAACCCAAGAACCCTATAGGTAACTGTCTTTAAAATGTCTATGACACTATTTAAATTTAGTTTTAGCTCTTAAATAGTATTATGCTTACTGGCACATGGTTCCCATGGTGTTTGAAACTGGCCTGAACATGGTGCTGGCAGCAGCTGATCACTGCTTGGGAAATACTGTCTAGTATTGGCTATATTCCCAAGAAGGCCTTAGGCAGATGATTACCCATTGCTGTGTTAGGGGAACAGCTGCAGGTCTGATGTTTTACAAGTAATAATTCAGGGTTTTGCTGTTTTAATGAGGAAATGTCTATGTGACGACCGATTCTAGTATGTTGTTAGATTTGGGAGGCTGTAGGGATCTGTGTCTTCCTACATTATATCCCTGAAATTAAGAGGCAAACTCAGGTCATATAACAGAGGCTATCTATCTGGTGTCTTTTCTTTAAACTAAATTCCTGAGAATCTAGGTGGGTATAACTTAAACAGCAACCAGTCCAAATTGTCTTCTTTTGTGTAGTGAACAGATTAAGAATAAGGTTTTCCAAAAGGCCAATGTGTAGATTAACCCTCAGAAAGAGTGAATAATTATGTGGTTGAGAGGGCATGAGAAGGACATAAAAACGATCCCCCCAAGGTTCTTCTGTTTCACGTTTTTCAGCGATGCCATCTGCAATTTTGTTATCTGCAATGACTCTTCCCTTCGAGGCCAGCCCATCATCTTCAACCCTGACTTTTTTGTGGAAAAACTCCGGCATGAGAAACCTGAGGTGTTCACTGAGCTGGTGGTCAGCAATATCACAAGGCTCATTGATTTGCCTGGAACCGAGCTGGCCCAGCTGATGGGAGAAGTGGACCTGAAGTTGCCCGGTGGGGCTGGTGCGGCGACAGGCTTCTTCCGGTCTCTGATGTCTCTCAAGCGGAAGGGTAAGAGATGCGTTGGGGAAAGGTGCACCTGTCTCGGTGGCTTCCTGGGCTTCACCCTTCACATCTGCATGTTCCTTGAGGAGTTGCTAATACCATAAAGCAAAATCAGTCATTTTTCTCATTTTCATAAGTAGTGAAACAAAAGTTGTAAAAATAGTCTAGATAAACTGAAGCAAATATATATTGGTCCTCGAGAGATGACATGTTAGTTTAGATATTTATCAGGGGCACCTTGATTTTCATACCCTATTGATACTGTACTAAAATAATATTTAAGAAAACAAAGTTATACAGCTATAGGTACAGTAAGACAATTTCAACTTTTTTTTCGTTTTTTACTGCAATTGTTAATTCCTGAATGTTTTCATTCCATGGAGTGCTTTAAAGAAGCAAATACCTATGAATCACGCAAAAAAAGCCTTTCCAGAAAATAATTTGTAGTGCTGCTTTTGATTAAAGAGGCACTGTTTTATTTTATTCAATATAAGGAAATTACTAAGGTAGCAAAAAGTTTAAACATTATAACAGATCAGACCCTGTACCAACTCTAGTGGATAACCTATTATGCTTTGACAATTATGACTCTGAAGTGCTATTATCTGTTTGTTTTTAAATTAAATATCAACATTTCAGGTATTGTTACTAGATAAGAAGATGGTCTTTGCCTGCAAAGAACCTACAGTCTAACATTAAACTTGCAGAGTTGATTGAGAGTTGTTTTGACTGCATGTTCTGGTGCGCTTCCAGCTCTGAGGTTTTTGTTTATTGACCTTGCGGAAGCATTTGCTGAACTGTGACATAGGATGCTTGAGTGGTTTTCAGTATGCTGATGGTGTACTATTTGTGGAGAATATGGTCCTGTCCTATCGTATTTGTGTTTTTTTTTTTTTTTTTTTTTTTTTAGAAAAAGGAGTAATATTTGGATCCCCATTGACAGAGGAAGGCATTGCCCAGATATACCAGCTAATTGAATATCTACACAAAAGTAAGACTACTTGAAAGGTTGTCGCTCTTTGTTAATGAAGAATTGTCAGCTTTCTACTGAGAGCTGACCTCCTTGAGTTAGTGTGTACTGATTAACTGTCAACAAAGACACTGATCAGTGATACTTTCGGGTAGCATGTTTCTGTTCTCTTTTAAATTTCATCTCATGTATTGATTTGTTTTTATTCTCAATGACATATATAAATTAGATAGGGTCTATGAAATCACATCTTTCCCTTGACTCAGAGAGACATTTTTTTTCTGGAAAAATACATTGTCCCTAGAGAATTGTAACATTTACTCAGGGGAGCATGATTTATCACCAAAGACACATTCCTCTTTAGAATTCTATGATCAAAATACACTCTCACTTAATTCCCATTTTCTATTTTAGTAGTCATGTTGCTATGTCATTGCTCTATGTGCTTGGCATAGCTGAGCATATGTGAAATGTGTGGCATTATGTGATAAATGCAACAACATTTATCAATAAATGGCTTATTCTATGTGGGACACTGCTAGGGGCTAGAGCAGAGGCTGCAAACTGGCAGCCTAAGGGCTTGTCATCCACATTCATGTATTGTTTGACTGGCAGAGGATGAAGTTAAAAATAAAATTAGTTACCAGTGTTTTAAAATGGGGAGAACCCAGGTTTTTAATTTCTTGGGGTGACAGGAAGATCTGACATCCTTGGGCCCTGCTCTCACTTCACCGTCAGCTGGAGCACAGGTGTGTGCTTTCCCGTTCCTTACGGTTCCTGCTCGTTCACGTCCTGTTACCTGCCTGGCCCTTCAGGCGCTTGAACTTGGTCCCCTCAATTAGGGAGTTATAGGAAGATAAATACGTACCCAAACTGAAAACATGAACTCTCATGCTTCTTTCAGAGCAAGCTAAAACTGTACATTCTGTCTTTTTTATCCCTTGAGATTAGCTTAGAACCTGGTTGGGAGGGAAGCACAGTTTAGTTGGGATGGTGTGAACTGTGTTCCAGGAATCTTAGACAGAGGTGATCTGACAGGTTCGAGTCCCGGTTCCAGAGGAAACACAGAGACTCTAGAGATATTTTAGGCTGGGAAGCTGTATCAGCAACAAACCTCCACATGTGAACTCAGCCCCTTCAGACAAAGTCTCGGATGGCAAAGGAAAGGGGCTTCCAGGGAGAGGTGTCTTTTTTCCCATTTATTTTTCAAGCTCATTTCTATTGTTTAGGTTAAAGTCAGTCTCCAGATAAGCCTCAGGATGTTGAATGACTCCTGGGTGGGCCGGCTCAGTCTGGGAGAGCTCCAGGTGCTCAGGGGTGTTCAGGTTGTCTCCTCAGGGGCGCGTGGGTTCTAAACTACTCTGGAAAAATGGGCAAAAACCTTCTCTACGGACTTTCAAGTGTAAAGTAGCCTTTTAGATGACTTATTTTAATCATACTTTCTCTTTTTGCTTCCTTTTTGCATGTCTCCTGTTTTCCCTCGTGCTAAACAGACTTGCGGGTAGAGGGTTTGTTTAGAGTACCAGGGAATAGTGTCCGGCAGCAGATTTTAAGGGATGCTCTCAATAATGGAAGTGATATTGACTTGGAATCAGGGGAGTTTCACTCAAATGACGTTGCCACCTTGCTGAAGATGTTTCTAGGAGAGTTACCTGAGCCCTTGCTGACACATAAACATTTCCATGCACATCTCAAAATTGCTGGTGAGTATGGGAGATGAGGTGAAGATGTCAATACATTCCTTTCAATTTAGTTAAATCCTTTGGAACTCTTTGTGTTTGTAACCCACAGCAATACCAAAAAAGAAAAGCCAGTAACCCACAGCTAGACAGCCCCCCAAAAAAGAAAAAAGAAAAAGAAAACAAAATAAGAAAAAAGAAAAAAATACTTCTGCTAATATTGGTTAAAACTTCATGGTGTTTCTGAACTTCTCTGGGTACTGGGTATTGGCCAGCTAAGTTTGAATTAATCAAATGTTTTTCTTGCTAAATTAGCTTTTTTTAAAAAAACAGATTTTATTTATTTATTTTTATAGAGAGGGGGAGGGAAGGAGAAAGAGAGGGAGAGAAATATTGATGTGTGAGAGATACATCAATCTGTTGCCTCTTGCACGCCGCCAACTGGGGACCTGACCTGTAACCCAGGCCTGTGCTCTGACTAGGAATTGAACCAGTGACCCTTTGGTTTGCAGATCGGCACTTAATCCACTGAGCAATACCAGCCAGGGCAAAATTAGTTTCTTTGGAGATAAAATATGAGTTTTATTTATTTTTTTATTCCTCAGGGATCCTGGTATAGTGCTCTGAATATTTAGCTGCTTAATAAATGTATGCTTTCATTGGATCAATTCACATTACCAAGATGGTTATAGGTTTGGTGCATTTGCCTTAGTTTGAGGCTTTTGCTGTGTATTGTTATGCCTTAGTTGAGATCGTTTCTACTCTTGGAAGTTTTTTTCCTTTTCCCTAGGATTTTTAAAAACTGAATATATTGGGGTGACATTGGTTGATGCAATTACATAGGTTTCAGGTGTGCAATTCTATTATACGTCATCTGCATATTATGTTGTGTGTTCACTATCCCAAGGAAGTTTGTTTTGTGTATTTATTATTTTATTTTTTTACTGTATTTTTTCCATTACTGTTTATCCTCCTTGAAGTTTGCTTTTTCAAAAATAATGTTATTTGCTTTTTAAATAGTCAGTACATGCACATGGTTCATGTTCAAAGTGTTCAAAAGAGTATGCAGTGAGAAGACTCTTTCCCACCCTTGTCCCCCAGCACCTGGTTTTTCTTACCAGAGGCAAACCATGCTATGACTGCTAATGTAGCCTTCCAGAGATAGTTTATAGATGTACAAATACTTAGATATATTCCTTTTCCCTCTTTTTATGCAATGGTAGGTTATTATATTTATTTATTTTTTTTACTTAATGTATCTTGGAGAATGTTCCGTTTCCAGCTCCTTGTTTCCTCATCCTCCTGCATGCCTGTGTGGCAGAGAGTTCATTCTTCAGTTGCACAGCTGTTATGCTGCTATGGTTTTCCCACCCATGAGCATTTTCCTCTTACTTCTGATTTTTTTTTCATGGAACGCATCACGGATTTGTGTGTCACCCTTGTGCAGGGGCCACGTTAGTTTTCTCTGCATCATTCTCATTTTAGTATATGTGCTGCTGAAGCAAGCACTTCTTGCTTCTAATTTTAAGAAAAGTAAATGTAAGATTTTTTCTTTTCAATAATTTTTACTATTGAAAAGAAAATCAAGTTTGAATTTCTAAAACCTAATAAGATTAGATTTTTTTAGTGCTACCAGTAATAATCCAGATGATACAAATGAGAAAATATTAGGAGAATGTTATATAACTTTACAATTATTTTGGAGAGAAATAAAATTGTTGAATCTTTGAAAAAGATATGGAAAATATTGATAATTTTTTTTATAAGGGTAACATGAAGAATGCTTTTTCTGTTTGCTTTCCCATTGAGCTGATTTAGGATGGTATTTGAAACCCTCCCCTTCATCACCCCAGGATTCACTGTTCTTTCAGGTCATATTGAGGTGTGGCACAGTTGTAGTACTTGCCATGCCTTGCTGATCACTAGAAGGGATTTTTATTTTCAATTTCATATTAACAGGGAACAGTTTCTAGAAATAGGATCTGTCTTTCCTAAACTTGGACTTACTGTTGCAGTTCAACAGCTTAAACAACACGGTGAGATCATTTCAGGTCAATATGAATTATACCCAAATAGTTGTCTGTGTCCTTTGAAAGTTTAATGATCCAGGGAACCGTTTTCACTGACAACCTGTGTAGTCTGTTGGGGAGAAACAGTGACTCTGACTCCCTGAGGAATTGCCTGGACTCAGATTGTCCTGCTATCAGGGCATAAGTCACTCATGTTTCCTTTAATGACAAGTATCTGGGTGAGGAAAAGTGGAGGGGATGGAACTTTGAAAAGTAGGTGTGGGCATATATTTTCATTTCTCTTGGGTGTACACACCTAGGAGTGAAATTGCTGGGTCATATGGTAACTTTGTGTTTAACTTTTTGAGGAACTTTCAAACTATTTTCCAAAGTAGTTGTACCAGTTTACATTCTCTCCAGCAATGTGTAGGAGGATTTAATTTTCTCAGCATTCTTTTCAAAACTTGTCAGTCTTTTTGATTATAGCCATACTTGTGGGTACGAAGTAGTATCTCATTATGGTTTTGATTTACATTTCCCTGATAGCTAATGATACTGAGTATACTTCGTGGCCATTCGTTTTTTTCTTTGGAGTATTTTGTCCATTTTTCAGTTGGGTTTTTCTTTTTATAATTAAATCATATTGACATTATTTTGTTATTATATTATGCTATAATCTCTGTTTATGCCGGATTCTTTTCTTTTTTCTCTTTTTGATTGGAGTTGAGGGGAGGGGAATAATAGGGACAATGTTGTCCTGTTCTTGCTCGTATTTTATCCCTCCTTTGCAATCATCTCTTTTGTCCTCAAGATCTGACACAGTTTGATGACAAGGGAAACAAGACTAATGTACCAGATAAGGCACGGCAAATCGAGGCTCTTCAGTTGCTCTTCCTCATTCTCCCTCCACCCAACCGTAACCTGCTGAAGTTACTGCTTGACCTCCTGTACCAGACAGCAAAGAAACAAGACAAGAATAAGATGTCCGCCTATAACCTAGCTCTTATGTTTGCACCCCATGTCCTGTGGCCAAAAAATGTGAGTGTTCAGGGGGAGAGTGAAGACTGCGAGGCTTTCTGGGCTGGGCCTTATCCTGTGACTGTCCCTTGGGGAGGCCGTCGGGGGTCCAAGGTCTAGTCGTTCATTTAACAGGTTTAGGGACTAACTTTATTAGTTCGTTTAAGAGTCATCAAACCTGAGGAAGCCAATTCTTGTTAGCCTCACTTATAAATCAATCTTTGACAAATCTGAATGGCAATTTGTTGGTGGAAACTGGAAAATTGTAGCTACTAAATAAACAAGAATACTCATTTTGACTGGTTAATATAAATTCCTTCTTAACATGAAACCCATCTTGGGAAATCAAATTGATTCCTGAAGATTGCATGGTATAAATTTAGAATAGAGCTGTTTGATCCTGGCTGGGTAGCTTATTTGCTTAGAATGTTGTCCCGATACACCAAAGTTGAGGGTTCAGTCCTTAGTCAGGGCACATGCAGAAATCAACCAATGAGTGCATAAATAAGTGGAACAACAAATCAATGTGTCTTTCTCTACCCCCCTTCCTTTCTCTAAAAAAGTAAATAATAAATAAATAAAATAGAGCTGTTTAATCTTACAGGATAATGTCACTAAGGTTTTAGATGACACGTAGAACAATCCTGCTTTGTCCTAACTGTCTTGAATGTGCTTCTTATTACTGAGAACATGGTCTTCTCAAAGACTTGAATGAAAAATAAGTTATCTAAAATCTTTCGACCTGACTCTTGGTCTAGAGGTCCATAGGTCCGTATTCCTGACCATTCATAACACAGGTTTTACTGTACAATGGCACTGGGAGACGGGTTACTTGAGTTGGAAGCTACAGACAGGCTGTGGCCTGTATCCTTTACCCTTTCTGTGCTCAGCCTCCTCCTCCGCAAACTGGGCATAATAATACCTTTCCTACTTACCTGACAAGGTGGTTGGAAAGATAATAGAAATAGATGGATATAGTTGACTTATAAAATATTTTGGGGATATAAGAAATGAGAAAAGGAAGGTAAAGAAGGGGTTATGTGGCACATTTTACTTAACAAGTAACTAGTGAAAAAAAAATGCAAAGTGCCCAGCCAGGGAGATCCTCTCCCCAGAGAAAGGTTGGTGCGTGGCAGGGATGAGGGTGGGAGGGTGGTGGGATGATGAGAAGAAAGGACACACCAACACCCATCCATATTAAGGATTTTAGAACCAGCTAACTGAAACTGTGGAAAGGGAGTGTGTAGTCTGTGCCTGTAAAGAGAAGTATATAAGAGGTCTTACTAAAAGCAAAAATTAAATAATAAAGATACATGTTGAGGGTAAGGGCTTTGGGATAGTAGAGATGCTTATGTGCTTAAAATAGATGCAGGAGAAACAAGAGAAGGCTATCGATGACCATTTGACTGTGCTTTTAAGAAACAGATGACACCTTTGGTATCTATTAGTAGTGACAGTTCTCCTGTCTTTGGAGAAACTCCAGTTTCTCTGAAGAGACAATGTCCTTGGTGGTTGGTATAGATTCTGTTCTTCCTGACCTTTTCCCAGACTAGATCTTTAGCAGCTCTGCTTGCATGTCTAATTCTCAAGCAGAATCAGGAAATGAAGATTAGTTCTTAAGGATTTCCTGGTCACTGCAGAGATACATGGTTCTTCTAGATTATGTCATTCCAGTGGAAATCTGGAGACTTTAAAAGAATAAGCTTATTGGTAAGTAAATGGAGTATCTGCCAATTCTTAATCCCCCTTTTTGTTTTTGTTTTTCTCTGAATAGGTCACTGCAAATGACCTTCAGGAGAATATCACAAAGTTAAACAATGGGATGGCTTTTATGATTAAACACTCCCAGAAACTTTTTAAGGTAGGTAAGGAGTGGGATTGGGTGGTAACAGACAAGGAGGATGGAGCAGGGTGGGATCCTAAGGAGGGCTGTAAAAATGAGCAGGTAAGAAAGGCCCTGGGTCAGAAAAGCAGATTAGACAGCAAAACCTGGAGGGGGCAACCAAGGTGGGGGGATAGCGGGGTACCTGAAGGCTGCTGAGGCTCTGCCCCCTGGGTAATTGGCTTCACAGTCTGGCCATCCTTCCTTTTTCATCAAGAACAGCATGTTAGCCACTGAGTCATTTTATCCTGCCTGCTTCCTGCCAGTAGAATTTGGAGGGTCTGACAGCCTCCTTTCATTTTGAACTTTGTCCCTTTTATTCCAAAGTAGCAGGGCTGCCAACATAATTTTCTCAAGAACTTTGTGGGTCTTCTGTAGATTTCAGCGGGATATACTTCATTAGACAAAAGCCACATATACAAATCTTTTGAAGAAAAACCCTTCTGTACTTGATCTCTTGCTGAGAAGGCTGAGGGACAATACCTTTAAGCTTCCTAGGGACCCTCTGGTTTGATTGAGAGGATCTGCGAGGCACACCTTTACTCTCTTGAAAGGGCCCTTTGTGTGACTGAATATTCTGACCTTTCACTGTTTGTAAGATTTTATAAGTAAAGGTTGCATGGTCACATCCTTGGCCTTTCCTTTAGAGCTCGCTTTTCTGATAGTGAATTCCTTAATTTTAGCATCTTTTGCTATCTGGAAAAGCTGAGAATTTTTAAGATCATCCAGTTCTGGTTTCTTTTGTTTTCTCTTTCTTTAACTTTTTTTTTGTGGTAAAATACCCATGACAAAATTTACCCTATTAACCATGTTCAGCGGCATTAATTTGTCGATGTAAGTAACATCCAAACCTGTAGAGAATTGTTGTAAGAGTTTGTTTCAACCAAACTGATAACATATGCTGAGGAGCAAGATCTCACAATCTCCAGAGAATAAATGTTTTGCAGCTTCTTTTGTGCATTTAAAATTAAGGAGGGAATGTAAGGAAGATTATGTGGAGGTGGGGAGAAAGTGAGGCAGGGATTGGATCATGGGATAGTTAACAAGATTATGTTAACTTTCTTGAGGGTTAATACTCTCTTCAAGGGGTATTACTTCTGGTATTTCAAAGGTGTATTAACCTAGAGACAGAAGAACAACAGACAGGGCTTGCTTAAAAACCTCTTACTGGCCCTGGCTGGCATAGCTCAGTGGATTGAGCACAGGCTGCGAATCAAAGCATCGCAGGTTCGATTCCCAGTCAGGGCACACGCCTGGGTTGCAGGCTATAACCCCCAGCAACCGCACATCGATGTTTCTCTCCCTCTCTCTCTCTCCCTCCCTTCCCGCTCTAAAAATAAATAAATAAAATCTTAAAAAAAAAACACAAAAAACCTCTTACTAAAGAAGACAGAGGCTCTGGTTGTGACCACCTACCATGACCTTCCCAGGTAGAAATTTATGATCAGATCCCCCTGTCAGGTCACTGTCCTAGAACCCCCCTTTTCACAGATTACATACCCATTGCTATGCGGTGGTCACCACCATCCATCTCCAGAGCTCTTCACTTTGCAAAACTAAAACTGTATACTTGTACTTCATTATGAAGAATTTTTGTTAAGTGACTTAAAATGACACAAATTTATTTTTAAAAAAATATTTATTTTTAGAGAGAGGAGAAGGGAGGGAAAAGAGAGAGAAAGAAACATTGATTGGCTGTCTCTCTCATGCCCCCAACTGGGGACCTGACCCTCAACCGAAGCATGGGCCCTGACCAAGAATTGAACCAGTGACCTTTCGATTCTTAGGCTGGCACTCAATCCAATGAGCCACACCAGCCAGGGCAAATTTATTATCTTAATGGGTTTGTGGAAGTCTGGGATGAGTCTCACTAGGCTAAAATCAAGGTGTTGGCAAGGCTGCATTTCTTTCTGGATTTTCCAGGAGAGACTCTGTTTACATGGCTTTTTCTACCTTCTAGAGGTTGCCCACATTCTGTGGCTCACTGTCCCCCTCCTCCGTCTTCAAGGTCACCAGTGTTTCCCTTCTCTGACCATCCTTCCATAGTCACATTTCCTCTGACCACTGCTAGGAAAGGGTCCCTGCTTTTAATGACCCATGTGATTATATATTAGACCCACCCTGATAACCTTGGATAATTTTCCCACAGCAAGGTCCTTAACACTAGCACCCCCTCCCCCCCCCCCGCCCTTTTTTTTTAACCATGTATGGTAACGAATCACTGTGGAGGATTTTGAGAGTACAGGTCATACAAACTTTAAAGAAAAAACTAGAGCAGTCTCTTAGATGTTCTTTAGCTTGGTATAAATTCTGATGATTAGATCTTTCAGTCTTTGTTTTTTTTACTGTTTTTTTTTTTTCTTGTCTCCTACAGATCCCTCTTTCAGCTTCTCATCCTTGCAGTTTTGATTCTTGTTTGCTACTTTATCTTTGTTTCCAGGCTATTATGAGCACTGTTTGAGCCTTTGCTGATCACTCAAGGAGAGAAAGAAAGCTTTTTTTAAAAAGGGTTTTATTTTTTAGAGAGGGGAAGGGAGGGAGAAAGAGAGGGAGAGAAATATTGATCAGTTGCCTCTTGCCTGTCCCCAGCCGAGGACCTGGCCTGCAACCCAGGTATGTGCCCTGACTGGGAATTGAATTGGCGACCTGTCAATTCGCAGGCTGGTGCTCAATCCACTGAGCCACACCAGCCAGGGCAGAAAGTTTTTTTGAGATTTATTTTAGTCTTAGGTGTCTTCTCTTTCAATTTGGGTCAGAACTGGTATCCCTGTAGGCACCTGCTTTACCACTTTGGCTGATTATGTTCTTCCTTGAGCTTTCCCCTGGATGAAAAGTGGTTGCTTGTTCTGTGTGCTCTGTCACTTACTCTGGGGTCCCGTTTTACTCCACATTTAGTCTTGTGCTTTTTTGTATCTTCTTGTTCTCAGGCTTCTTTGTGTGGGTTTTTTCACCCTCTTAATCCTTGTATCCAGTTGCCTCAATTCTGTATTCTTGTATTTATTTTCCTGCTCTACCATTTTCCAGAAAATTCTTCTTAGCTATTTGTAGTTCTGTCCTCTGTCATCTGACTCAGTCTAATTTTATCACTCTTCAACATGAATCACCACATCTCTTCCTATGGATTTACATATACAGTAAGGCCAATTTTCATTTTATTTGGCAAGTCCTTTTGTTTCCTATGAGTTGTAAAATACTTAGGAGACCCAGATTTTCATTTAAACCAGTCTGCCTCTGGCTTCCTTTCTGGATTTCCCTTCAGCAATATTATCTTTTGGGGACAGAGTTTTTGTTTTCTTGTTTTTATTTATTTTACTTTTTTAAAAGATTTCATTTATTTATTTTTAGAGAGAGGGAAAGGGAGGGAGAAAGAAAGGGAGAGAAACATCGATGTATGAGAGATACATGGATCGGTTGCCTCTCGCACGCCCCCAACTGAGGACCTGACCCACAACCCAGGCATGTGCCCTGACTGGGAATCAAACCAGCAGCCTATTTGGTTTTCAGGCTCAATCTACTGAGTCACAGCAGCAGGGCTATTTTGTTTGTTTTTAAAGTTTATAGAATAGGTGGTGTGGGTTCTGTCATATTCTTGTTTGGAGGAAATTACTTTTAGTCTTAAGCTTTGTTTTATAGTTTTCAAGTTAAAACTTAAGTTGTAGATATAATCTCTGTCAGAAGACTTTTTTTTTTTTAAATTTTTTTTATTTTTTTTATTTTTTTTTAATTTATTTTTTTTTAGAGAGGGAAGGGAGGGAGGGAGAGAGAGAGAGAGAGGGAGAGAGAGAGGGAGAGAGAGAAATATCAATGTACGGTTGCTGGGGGTTATGGCCTGCAACCCAGGAATGTACCCTGGCTGGGAATCGAACCTGGGACACTTTGGTTCCCAGCCCGTGCTCAATCCACTGAGCTATGCCAGCCAGGGCCAGAAGACTTTTTTAAAACAACTTTATTATGAAATTTTTCAAATGTAGAGAGAAGTACCAAGAATAAAACAGTGAACATTCATATAACTCTCCCTCAGATTCAGCAAATGTTCAGCTTTATCACTATATTTTCATATATTTTTTTGTGGTTTAACTGCTGATAGTAAATTGCAGACCTCATTTTACTTCACCCTAAATGCTTAAGCATGCATCTCCTGAGAGTGAGCATATTCTCCTGTTAGTCACAGTACCATTAGCACATCCAAGATAATTAACAAGAATTTCTTATCAGCTAATATTCTGTACAAATTCAGATTTCTTCATTTGTCTTGAGATTATATTTTATTGCTTTTTTTAAAAACACAAGTTAACTGAGGTTTATGAATTCCTTTAGATTATTATGTCATTTTTAAAATCTGGAACAATCATGCTTTTTTCTTCACGTCATGGATGTGTTGAAGCATTCAGGCCAATTGTGTTATAGAATATCCCACATTCTAAATTAGTCTTATTGTTTTCTTGAGGCCATTTAACTTGTTCCTCTGTCCCCTTCTATAATCAATAGTTCCTGTAAACTGAAGTTAGATTCAAGTTAAGCAATTTTGGCAAAGATGTTTGTGTATATCATATTGCATCCTATTGCATCAGATTACAAGGCACAGAATGTCAGATTGCCTCACTCTTAGTGATGCTAATTTTGCTAGCTGCCACATATCACGATATAAATATACCTATTTTTCTCCCTTTGGTACAGTAAGTAACCTGCAGGGAGATTGTATGATATAATACTTTTAGAATCCATTGATAATCCTGCTGGAATCAATGATTACACTGGGTATTATAAAACTGTTTTTTCTCATTCTATTGTTTGATCTTTATTAGCTGACTTCTTTCTTTGAGAATAGTTTTCCTTTTTTCTGCCTAATTCTCTTTTTTATGAATATCACTATAGACTCATATATTTTTAGTATTCAAAGTGTTAGTCAAATTTGTACTAACTTTGATAATCAGATTATCCCAAATTTGGCTAGTGATTGTCCTTGGCAGCTAGTTCCTGTTGTGTCTTTTTGATAGGACTCCATTACTCTTCCAGTATCTCCTTTTTGGCATAAATGTCCCCAGCTTCCCTGGCTGGGTAGCCCAGTTGGTTAGAGCGTTGTCCTGATAAGCCAAGGTTGCGGGTTCAATCTCTGGTCAGGGCACCAACAAGAAGCAACCGATGAATGCATAAATAAATGGGACAACAAATCATTGTCTTTCTCTCTCTCTTTTCCTCTCTCTAAAAATCAACCAATCAAAAAATAAGTAAAAAAAATAGTGTCTCCGGCTCATCCTGTTCTTGCTTTACCCTGGGACTAGAATCAGTAATTTTTTCCAAGGAGCCTTGGTTTCTTCAACACTAGGTTTACTCATTGTTTCTGGGGGTGTCATTGGCTCTTTGAGGGCAAGGAAGTAGACTAAAATTTTTAACAAAAATCAGTAGTTCCAATTATGATTTAGCATTACAGAGCTTTCTCTTGACTTCTACCTTATATTTGTATCTCTTATCTTACATTGTAAATTCCAGATTTTTATAGCATTTATGTATATTTGCTTTATTCTATGATGTACATAAATTGGTTTCAAAATGATACGACTGTTACTATTAACAGCAAACCTACATAAACCCACTGATGGAAGTTTAAGATTTCCTTGCAGTTTCCTTTCGCTTGGATCTATCTCACTGAGGATGTGTCGTCAGAATACAGTTTTCAAAAGTTAGGGGAGATAATTCCTTTCTCTGTGCTTGTATTATCAATTTGATTACAGGTATGTTCATTTTTCCTCTTTGTGTTCAGTTTTAGGGTTTGCCTTTTTTCCTTTGGATTTAATTTACTTTTTGAATCTGTAGTGTATTTCATGGTTGAAAAGTCAAAACTGCATGAGAAGCTTTACTCAGAGAAATCTCAGTTCTTTTCTTTATCATTTACATTGTTTTCTAGTTTATCCTCAGTGTTTCTTTTGGTAAAACCAAATAAATGTGTATATGTGTGTATATTCTTATTTCCTCTTCACTTTCGCCCCAAGTACTTTATATGCTGTCACAACAGTAGTTCCTGGAAATCACTCCATGTCAGTTCACAAAGTGTTTCTTCCCTTCTTCCCTCCCTCACTCTGTGCCTTCCTTCTTTCATTTTTAATGACTGCATAGGACGGCATTGAATGGGTATATAAAAGTTCATTCAGTCAGTCCCCTGTTAGTAGATATTTGAGGTGTGTTTAATCTTTTGATTAATCTTATCCAAAGGTATTTATGTTTCTGAAATTGTATTTTCAGGATAGATTTGTAGAATTGAGGTTTCTGGGTAAATGGTAAATGCAAATGTAATTTTCTTAGATGTTGCTAAATTCTCTTCCATAGTGGTTGTATTATTTATACTTATACTAGGACTGTATCAAGATTCTTATTACAGGATTCTGAGCAATATAGCAGTAAGCTGAGTTCTTCCATGTCTGTTGTTATCCCACAGGAGTTCTAAATGGTATTTTCTATACAGCGATTCTAAAATATGACCATTTGTAGTTTGTAAGAATTTTAGGGGTGGCTTTGGTCAAGTATAAGCATTACTACAAATATGTATATTTTTGTTTCTGGCTCATTTGAGTTTTTCATGCCATATTTGATTCTGAAAACAGGAACAACTACAGTGGTGTCTTCTCACAATTTTCCCATCAGATTTGTTGAAATTATCTTTTTGGTGGAATCTATAGAATAGGACATTTTGAAGATTATTTGTTTTTCAAAGTAATCTGGCAGTCAAATTATTTCGAGAACCACTGTCCTCAAGTCTTAAAAGAATTCTAGATACTATAATTATTTGGTCTTGGTTTTCTTTTATGACCTGCCCAGGCTCCTGTTTACATCCGGGAATGTGCCAGATTGCACTATTTGGGCTCCAGAACTCAAGCATCAAAGGTAAGAATGGGAAACTGCTCTTAGACCAAATAAGGAGAACACAAACTTAATGGAGTTTTAGTGCACTCTCACTCCTGGGAGCATACCCGAGCCTTTCCCTCCCCCTCTTCCTCCTTCTCAGTGGCATGCCTCCTCAGCTCTCAGGGACCCCACCAGACTTGCAACAGGGGAGCAGTGGACAACCACAGCTTGTCCCGGGCTAACCCCCTGACCTGTCTCCAAGGCTTCTTTTCTCTGATTTTCCAGTGAGCCAAAGAAGCCCCACCTAGGTTCACTTCTTTTCTTTTTTTTTTTTTAAGATTTTTATTTTTTATTTCTTTAATTATGTTTTATTGATTATGCTATTTTAGTTGTCCCAATTTTTCCCCTTTTGTCCCCCTCCACCCAGCACTCCCTACCCCCTCAGGCAACCCCCACACCATTGTTCATGCCCATGGGTCATGTGTGTGTGTTCTTTGGCTGCTCCATTGTACTTTCCATCCCCTCTACAGAATGGCCCCTGGCTATTCTGTAACTACCAATTTGTACTTCTTAATCTCTTCACCTCTTCATCCATTACTTTACACTCCCCTCCCATCTGATAGCCATCAAATGCTTTCTGTATCTGTGATTCTGGGCCCAAATGAAAAAACAGATCAAAACTCCAGAAAAAGAGCTAAACAAAATGGCGGTAAGCAATCTATCAGATGCAGAATTCAAAACACTGGCTACAAGGATGCTCAAGGAACTCAGTGAGGACCTCATCAGCATAAAAAAGGATCTAGTCAGAAAAGAAGGATGTATTAATTGAAATAAAGAACAATTTATAGGGAATCAACAGCAGAGTGGATGAAGCCGAGAATCAAATCAATGATCTGGAACATAAGGAAACAAAAAAACAATCAGAACAACAAGAAGAAAAGAGAATCCAAAAAAATGAGGAAAGTATAAGTAGCCTCTGGGACAACTTCAAACATTCCACCATTTACCTCATAGGAGTGTCAGAAAGTGAAGAGAAAGAACAAGAAACTGGAAATCTATTTTATGAATAGATCTATTCATAATCTATTATGAAAAAATAATGAAAGAAAGCTTGCCTAATTTGGTGTAGGAAATGGATATGCAGGTCTAGAAAGCACAGAGTCCCAAACAAGATGGACCTGAAGAGGCCCACACCAAGACACATAATTAAAGTGCCAAGGTTAAAGATAAAGAAGGAATCCTAAAAGCAGCAAGAGAAAAGCAGTTAGTTACCTACAGGGAGTTCCCATAAGACTGTCAGCTGGTTTCTCAAAAGGAACTTCGCAGGCTAGAAGGGATTGGTAACAAATATTCAAAGCCATGAAAAGGGGGGACCTACAGCTAAGATTGCTCTACCCAGCAAAGCTGTCATTCAGAATCAAAGGACAGACGAGAGCTTCCCAGACAAGAAAAAACGAAAGGAGTTCGTCACCACCAAGCCATTATTACATGAAATGTTAAAGGGACTTATTTAAGAAAAAGAGGATCCAAACTATGAACAATAAAATGACAATAAATACGTATCTATCAACAACTTGTTACAGGGTGCAGCCAAGAGTGGGGTGGCGGGGTGGCAAATAGGGATTTGGAATGGGGCCCAGAACTCAGGGTGTCCAGGAAATATTAGAAAGACATATAGGATGTCCTCACCCCTTTCCCCACAGGTGTGAATTGGGGGAAGGGACAAATGGAGCAGGGCCACTGAGAGCTGTTTTGTGTAGTAACAGCTTTGCAGCTAACCCTGCTGTGGTCATTTAACATATCTATAACCTTTAACTGGTTACATAGATATGTTAAATAGCTGTGGCCATGCTCTGAGCCAGGGGGATGAAAGTAACTTCCCCACCAAGATGTAACTGGGGGGCAGGTCCCCTGAGTTACAGCGCCTGGGAGCTTGGAGAAGATTGGCTCCAGGACATGGGGCTACACCTGCCCAGACTCACAATGGCAGCCCAGTAAAGCTGGAAGGATATGAGAGTGCTAGCAAGTGTAGCCAATTCTGGGAGGAGTCGGAAATGGGGCTGCAGAGGAAGATTGGTGCAGGGATTTAAACCCAGATGTGGCAGCCATTGGAGGGAGAACCGTGCGACTTTGCCAGAGTGGGGACTCCCGAGGCCATTGTGCAGAGAGAACCATGTAGCTGTGGCAATAGAAAGGATAGCCACACGGCTTTGCCAGAGTGGGGACCCCCGCAGCTTTAGAAGGGGGAACTACCACCTGGCTTTAGCAGAGATCCTGGTGAGACAGCTGAAGGCGCCGGCAACCGAGGGAGGCCTACCAGCTGAGATGGATTACTGGGAAGAACTGGAGGCTGTCTGAACCATGGACTTTTGTTTCTTTTCCTGGGATTTGGTACCCCAGACTGGGCAAAGGTGGGGGGAAGGAAGGACTCTTTGTGTTTGTGGGTATTTTAAGGGACTTTGAGATTTTGATGAGGACATTAGGTCACTACTTTAAGTCTGTATAGCATTAAATAAACATTTCCTTTCCTTTTCATGAATCTCTGGCATTGAGAGATGTCTTTCCTATAAGGCGGTGGACATAATGAACCTGAGGGTTCCTTTCAGTAATAGTATATCGGCACCCCCTTCGCCCCTTTTGTTCTGTAACAAACTGAATCTAAAAAACGAATTCCTTTTTTATAACACTTCTAGAGAGCCAAAACAGCCCCTGCCTAGTCTCTCTCCTGTTGCTTCTTCTATCCTAAGCTCTTTCTTGTTTCACTGTTCTCAGCTTTAAAAAACATATTCTGAAAATATTCTGAAAAATATTTCTGAAAAATTAAAAAAAAAATTAATGGAGTTTTAAAACACAGTATGTAATAAAATCAAAGCCATAGAAAATAAGATTTTTTTTAAAGAATGAAAGTTACTTTTTAAAAATATTTTATTTATTTATTTTTAGAGAGGGAAGGGAGGGAGAAAGAGAGAAACATCAATGTGCGGTTGCTGGGGGTCATGGCCTGCAACCTAGGCATGTACCCTGCCTGGGAATTGAACCAAAAAAATAAGATGTTTTTATTAGAGTTGAAAATAATCTAGTCAAGGACCTTGTCTGATATTAGAAATAGGAATTCTAGTGGCTAAGTTTGTTTATTTTCTAGTTATGAGAGGGGTCTCATTTGCCATTTTGGGAAAGAAAGTGTAGCTTGAGTAAATCCTGATGACTTAGTTAGTTTCTTTCTCAGGAGATTTATTCTGGGATAAGAAAAAGCCTGAGAAGAAAGTTATATGTTGAAATAAAAATGCCCTACACAAAGTCTGCTTTCTGAGGCACTCCACTGCCGGCGTGCACTGTGTTTAAAGGCTTTCGGAAAGCCTGCATGCGTCCTTATAGCATATGGTGTAAACAGTCTGCCAATGGCAAGTGTATTAAATGTTTTATGGTGATGAAAGGACAATCTTATGTAATAGAGTCTTACTTCAGGTTCAGTAGTAATGTGGCAAACACTGTATCAAATAGCTAGAAGACTTGAGACCACATGGGCTTAGAAAGTGAATGTGTGATGTTTAGTAATAAGATTACATATGATTATTGAGCTTTAAAAGTGACAAGTTAAAAAAATTTCACAAGTACTTTGTCATAATTTTTGTTTAGTCTGCCTTGTTTAGAAACTGAAGCTGTCGTCTTACACTCTTTTTTCCTGTTCCAGTTTGTTTCTGGTGTGACTGGGAAAACAGTATTTGATTGCAACTAGTTTAACTGGGGTGTGATTTTTCTTAGAGAGTTGTCATTGTTCCTCCACTACTGCTACGCAGTTGTCACACCACGCTGTCATGTGTGGGAAGGAGCACCAGCCAAGAAGCAGTTCACTTGGGCTCACCGATGGGTCTGTCACTTAGTATTTGGAAAAGTTTAAACATATGGCTCAGCTTCATTTTTTTTTTTTTTAATCAAATGGGAATGATGATACTTCCCCTGTTTACTTCATAGGATAGCAGTGAAAATACATGAGAGTAAAAGACGCTTTGAAAACTGGGCTCTTATATTACTTTTGGTGGAAATAATTCTGAATGAATTTAGGTTCTCTGGACAGGTTGTAGGAGTGCTTATTAATGTAGTCTATGATTATAGGTTCCTCTTTGATAAGAATTTTTTTTTAAAACTAAAGTTTATATAAACTCTGAAGAGATGTTTATTTCTCATCCGAAAACATGCTTAGAGAGAGGGAAATGGAGGGAGAGAGAGAGGGAGAGAAACATCGATGTGAGAAAGAAACACTGATTAGCTGCTTCTTGTATGTGCCCTTACTGGGGACAGAACCTGCAACCCAGGCCTGTGCCCTGACCAGGAATTTAACGTGCCACCTTTTGGTTTACAGGACGATGCTCCAACCAACTGAGCCACATCGGCCAGGGCTAATAATAATTTTTACACTTTTCTTGTTCCTGGATATAAGAATATACCATGTTCCCCATAGCCCTACCCCTCTTTTAGCTCCAGGGTTGTGGGAACCTGGATACAAAGCTGGTAGGATATATTAATTTACTTTTGAATTTTCTCTAGGATGATCTTGATCTGACAACTTCGTGTCATTCTACATCCTTCCAACTGGCAAAACCTCAGAAGAGGAACCGGATGGATTCCTGCTGTCATCAGGAAGAGACCCAGCAGCGCACGGAAGAGGCGCTGAGAGAGCTGTTCCAACACGTTCACAATATGCCAGAGTCGGCAAAGAAGAAACAGCTTATCAGACAGGTGCCAGAGAGCAGGGAAACGGTGACAGGGCTCTAGGAATCACTGGGGATATTGTTAAGAATCTCATTTAATTTTTGGCTCTTATTGGCCCAAGCTTTGGCCCAGCCATGAAAGCAAACTTGTTTATGGAACCTCAGTGCGGTCTCTGTACTGCTGCCCCATTAGACAAAGGGGTGGAGACCCTGGGATCTCCCCAGTTAAACAGAAGGACCCAAGTGTGGTTCAAGTTTCTCTCATTTGGTCATGTACCCAGTTTGCTGAGAGAACCAGCAGTTGCAATACGAGCATGTTATCTGGAAGTTTAAACCCTTCATATTTTTTCGTCAAATAACTTTTATGAATTTCAGTTTTCTAGTTCATAAAATGGTGATTGTAATGCCCATGTTGTAATGATGAGAGGGAGTCTGTGTAAAGTGGTTGACACAGCAGAGCAGAGGTGGAAACTCGCAGTAAGTCGTTTGCAGTTAGAAAACACTGTTAGCCAAGGGCCTTGGTATTAGAAATAGGAATTGTAGCGGCTAAGTTTGTGTATTTTGGAGTCATGGGAAGTCTTTGATTTGCCATTTTGAGACTCACAGTGTAGCTTGAATAAATCCTGCTGACTTGATTAGTTTCTCAGGAAATTTATTTATCTCAGACCCTTGAATTTTAGTTGAATGGGCAAGGTCAGTCTCTTGACTTCTTCTTTTTTAATTTTTTTAAAGATTTTATTTATTTACTTTTAGAGAGAGGGGAAGGAGGTGAGAAAAAGAAGGAGAGAAACATGCAAGAGATACAGTGATTGGTTGCCTCTCACGTGCCCCCAACTGGGCACCTGGCCTGCAACCCAGGCATGTGCCCTGACTGGGAATTGAACCAGTGACCTTTTGATTCGCAGGTGTTCACTCAATCCACTGAGCCACACCAGCCAGAGCAGTCTCTTAATTTCTTATTCAGCTGGGTCTTTTTTGAGGGAAGAATCTTTGTTTTTAATTTTTTTTTTAATAACTAATCTCAAGCATAAGGGCAGATATAAGTGCTCAGAAAATGTTGACTTGAGCTGTTTTTAACAATTGGCAGGGTCCTTTAAGAGAAGTTTTCTGTCACTCTCTATGAAGTTACTTTGACATCTAGCAAACTGTGATACAACTGAAATTTTAGAGGGTGTTGGTTGAGTATTTTTACAGATTCAAAGCAGTGTAGTGATTTGATTCTTGGTAGAGATTCAGATAGCAATTCACATAGGACAGGTAGAATGACTTATCCAGAACACTGAGGGTTAAATATGATACAAAGGAGAAATCTTTTTTTTTAAAGACTATTTTTTTAAAAGATTTCAAATATTTATTTTTTTAGAGACGGAAGGGAGGGAGAAAGAGAGAGAGAGAAACATCAATGTGAGGTTGCTGGGGGCCATGGCCTGCAACGTAGGCATGTGCCCTGGCTGGGAATCGAAGCTGCGATTCCTGGTTTGCAGCCTGCGCTCAATCCACTGAGTTACGCCAGTCAGGGCACAAAGGAGAAATCTTAACATTGTTTTTACTTGCTCTTTTTTATTTTTATTTTTTAAGGAAATTATAGAGAAGGATAAGAAGAAAATAAAATCACACATCCCACTAGTGTTTACGTTATGCCTGTTTCCTTACATCTTTTTTGTATGGATATATTTTTATGTAGTTTGATTATACCATATACTTTCTTTTACTGCTCCCTTTTCACTAAATATTACAGCATAAGCATTTTCTTATGTCTGTCTGCAAACTCCATGCCTGCATTAAAAATATTGCCATTTAAAAAATATATTTTATTGATTATGCTATTACAGTTATCCCAATTTTTTCCTTTGCCCCCTTCCACCTGGTACACCCACTCCCTCCAGCAATCCCCCACTTAATTCATGTCTGTGGGTCATGCATGTAAGTTCTTTGGCTATTCCATTACCTATTCTGTTCTTAAGATCCCCCTGTCTATTTTGTATTTACCAATTTGTGCTTCTTAATTTTTGTACCTTCTCCCACCATTCCCCCCTTCCCCTTCCTAACTGATAACCCCTCCAAAAGATCTCCATAACTATGATTCTCTTTCTGTTCTTCTTGTTTGCTTAGTTTATTATTTCGATTCAACTATTGATAGCTGTGAATTTATTGCCATTTTATGTTCATTGCTTTGATCTTCTTTTTCTTATATAATTCCCTTTAGCATTTCATATATTAGTAGCTTGGTGATGATGAACTCCTTTACTTTTACCTTGTCAGGGAAGCACTTTATCTGCCCTTCAATTCTAAATGGTAGCTTTGCTGGATAAAGTAATCTAGGTTGTAGGTCTTTGCTTTTTATGACTTTGAATACTTCTTGCCAGTCCCTTCTAGCCTGCAAGGTTTCTTTTGAGAAATCAGCTGGCAGTCTTATGGGAACTCCTTTGTAGGTAACTCTCTGCTTTTTTCTTGCTTCTTTTAAGTTTCTCTATTTTTAACCTTTGGCATTTTAATGATGTGTCTTGGTGTGAGCCTCTTTGGGTCCATCTTGTTTGGGACTCTCTGTGCTTCCTGGGCCTGTATGTCTATTTCCTTCACCAAATTAGGGAAGTTCTCCTTCATTATTTTTTTCAAATAAGTTTTCAATTTCTTGATCTCCCAATAGTTTGCTTAGCTCCATTTCATTTAGTTCTTTTTCTGGAGTATTGATCTGTTCTTTCATTTGAGTCATATTCCTTTGTCCTTTCATTTTGGCAGCCTCCTTGTGTTTGTTTCTGTGTATTAGGTAGAGCTGCTTTGACTCCCTGTCTTAGTAGCATGGCCTGTGTAGAAGACTGCTCCTGTTAAGTTGTATGGGACAGAGCCTTAGGTGATTGCCAGGATGGGGCAACCTGTGTCACTACTCTGTTGCTCAGTGTTGGGAAGGGCTCGCAGAGGTGACAATGCTGCTGCTTGGTCTCTGGAGTTTTGCCTGGGAGAAAGCTGTCTCCCAGTACCCACATTTCACTTTCTCTCTATATACCACTGATGTCCTTCCAGCTGTTGTCCTGGTGCTGAATGCCAGAGTGGGTGGGTCTGCATGAGCCCTAAGTCCATTGCGGGCCGTTTAAGAGGAGTCTGTTGAGAATCCCACAGTTTTTTCTATCTTCCCAAACCCCACTGATTTTTACAGCCAAAAGTTATGGAGACTTATCTTCCTGGCGCTGGAACCCTAGGCTGGGTGGTCTGGACTGGGGCTGGCATCCTTCACTCCCAAGGTATCCCTCCTGTTTTTTATCCACTGCATGTGGATATGGGACCTCCCGTTCCCGTCTTCACCACTTCTCTGTGCCTCTGGGTGCCTCTTTGCACCTGTCCGTGTGTCTGCCCTCTATATGTCTGGATGAACGTGGCTTCTTTAAATCCTCAGTTGTCAGACTTCTATGCAGCTCGATTTTCTGACAATTCTGGATGATACTTGTTTTGTAGTCTAGTATTTTCTGCTGTAGTTGTGTGCAGAAGTGAGGCATGTTTACCTATGCCTCCATCTTGACCACAGGTCCCCTAAAATACTGCCATTTCTTTTAGAAGAAACTATAATTTTACTATTTCTTAATTTTTCTCCATAATTAAAAAATAATGACTGTCACTATAGAAACATTGCAACCTCCAGAAGTCTTTAAAGAAGAAAATAAAAACTACCTATAATTCTGAGATAACCAGTGATAACATTTTAGAGTATTTTCTCTTAGTGTTTCTTGTGTATTTCAACTTTTTTTTCTGCTTAATTGAGATCATAATATATATTCAATTTTTCTATATGCTACCCTTTTCATTTAAAATTGTGTCATGGTCCTGGTCACTGTGTCTTGGTTGGAGCATCGTCCCATAAACTGAAAGGTTGTGGGTTCAATTCCAGGTCAGGACACATGCCTTCACTGTGGGTTTGGTTCCCCATCTGGGAGTGTAGAAGAGGCAACTGGTTGGTGTTTCTGCCTCACATGGATATTTCTCCCCCTTTCCTTTTTTTCCTTCCCCCTCTCCCTAAAAAAATCAGTAAATGAGTCCTTGGGTGAGGATTTGGAAAAATAAATAAATAAAACTGTGTCGTGAACATTTTCCATGTCATTAAAAGGCTAGAAACCTTTTAATGGTTGCACAGTATTTCATCATATACGACCTAATGCATATATAGGTTGCCTTCCACTGGGCATTTTGGGAAATATGATCAATTTTTAGTTTATACATTTTTGTTACAAGTATTTCATTGTAGATCTTTTCCTACAGATGGCATGACCAAAGGGTATGCATTTTTTGTTGTTGATACATGTGCTAGGTCTCTTTTAATAATAGGTCCCTCCTTCTCTTTCATCCCTCTTGTTTCCCCTAAAAATTGCCAAAGTTTCTTTATTTGAATGAACTCTTAAATTTGACATAGTTTATATTTAGAGAAAAATTGCAAAGATAGTACAGAGAATTTTCACATCCCCTTCACCCAGTTTCTTCCTAATGTTAACATTGTCAAAATTAAGAATTTAACAATGCTACATCACTGTTAACATTACAGACTTTATTCAGATTTTACTAGTTTCCTGCTAATCTCATTTTTCTGTTCTGGGGTCTAATCCAGGATACTGCATTGCATTTAAATGTACATACACACATTATCTCTCTCCACCCTGCCCTCACACTTTATTTGTGAAATAAATCAGGTTGTTTATCTCCTCATCTCCCACGGTCTGGATTTTGCTGGTTTCATTCTTGTGTTATTTAAGATGTTCCTCAGTCCTCTGTGTGCCATACACTGGTAGTTAGATCTCATTCTAGAAACTTGATCTGATTGCCATTCAATTTTTTTGTGTGTGTGCACTAATTTAATTAACTGTCAGACTAATTTAATAAGTTTGGACTTGTTTTTTGGCAGCATCATTTCTGCCTTTGTGATTTGCTTGCCACCCTGCTTACTAATCCGTATGTGCACAGACTCACCGATTCCTCGACTCTTCTTGGTATTTACACTTAGCTATTCATGTGGTTGTCACAGAATGCTATCAGTTGATGGGAGAATATTAACAAAATGCTCCCTGTGTTTTCTCTTAGTTTAATAAGCAATCTGTGACCCAAACACCAGGGCAAGAACCTTCCACTCCCCAGGTACAGAAGAGAGCCCGTTCGCGTTCTTTCAGTGGCCTTATTAAGGTAGGTATGTGATCGATTTCAGCCTTGGCTGAGAAAGCTGAGGAGTTCGATTGTTCTTATGCATAAACAGTTTTCTTCTATTCTTTGGGGTCCTATAAAGGGCCCTTGTGTAAGGGGATAAGGATAGAATTTGGAAAGGCGCTCATTTTTCTGAGCATTTGCTGTGCTTCAAATCAGAGAAGCTCTGGGACTGGAGAAGTGAGGAATAAAAGAAATAAAGGCCCACCCTTCTCTTTCGGGATTGAGGACAGAGTCTGTATTCCTGAGCTGTGTGGAGAGTCTCATCTGCTTCATGACCTGCTTTGTGCTGCACACTTCATTATGCAGTTTGCTGAAGTTATGGAGAAGGGAGAAGGTTGACAGAAACTAGGAAAATTGTTAGAAAATGGATTTTGTGAGTTTTAGGTAACTCAGATTTTTGTGAGCTTAATATTTGATTAGTTGTATTCTCTTCCTTTGTGTCCAGTTCATTACAAACCTTGTTTTTAAAACAAATACGGTGTGTACTTCTGTGCTGTTGCTGGCATCACTGTTTGCAGATTCAATTTACCAGTCTTGGTGGATGACTGAGCTTGTAGTTGAGGGATATTGTCAACAGGTGGCAGTAGATAACTGGGTTATGGGGCTCAAATTTCCAGCTGTAACTAAAGTAAGGCAAGGTTTTGGTTAACTTGGAGCAAGGTTAGCACTATTTTGTATTCTACTATTTTTCTTTTAAAAATTGTTTTAACATTATTAAGATCTATAAATCTAGCAACAATTAGGGATCTCTTTGTTTAAAATTAAGAAGTGTGCCCTAAAAATATGTGTATGCCCTCTAACATATATACTTTTTTCAGGAAGCTGCAGTTGTTAGCAGTTGCAGCTTCATCTAACTCTAATTTTGGTCCTAGTTAATAGCATTAATAGAAGTTTAGAATTCACGCTCAATCCTGATCCCCTGGGGCCAATAACCTCTGGAAAATTAGGTTTGCTTGATGTTAAAACTTCCTTTGCTATTTACAGAGAGAAAAGGCAACAAACAGAATGGGAGAAAATATTTGTAAAACATATATCTGATAAGAGGCTAATATTATCCAGAATATAAAAAGAATTCTTACAATAGCACCCTCCTCAAAAAAACAACAATTAAAAAATAGCCACAGGCCTTTAAATAGACATCTAGAAAGAAGAGATACAAATGACCAATAAAGACATGAATATGTGCCCAGTATCACTTATCAGGGAAATGAAAATCGCAACCATGGTGAGATGCCAGTCCGTAACCAGCAGGGTGGCTGTGCTCAGAAAAGACAAGATGGGTGATGGCGTGGCGTGGGTGAGCCAGACTGCCTGTGATCTCCTGGTGGGATTGTAACATGGAGTGACCACTATGGAAACCAAGGGTGGTTTCTAAAAACATTACAGTTCCTGTATGGTCTAGTAATTTCACTTCTGGGTGTACGAGTATCTCCCTCACCCCAATTAAAAACAAAGATACTAACAGGCATTTGTACACCCACATTTATAGTAGCATATTTACAATAGCCAGAAGGGAGAGGCCATTGTGTCCACTGACAGATACACCAAATGTGACACATACAGTGGGATATCAGTCAGCCTTAGGAAGCAAGGACATTCCGACACATTCTACAACATGGATGAACCTTGAAAACACTGTGCTAAGTATAATAAGCCAGGCACAAAAGAACACATGTTGTATCATTACACTTATGTGAGGTACCTGGAATGGTCAAATTCTTACAGGCGGAAAGCGGAAGGGTGGTTGCCAGGGACTAGGAGTGTGAGGGGGACCGGGGGTTACTATCTGACGGGTGCAGAGCTTCTGTTTGGGGTGATGGAAGGTTCTGGAGATGGATGGTGGTGAGTGTCGTACAACACTGTGACTGGGCTCAATGCCACTGAACTGGACATTTGCAGATGGTTAAATGGCAGATTTTATGTTATGTGTATTTTACCATAATTAAAAAAAAATTCCCTTTTCTATAACCCTAGACGTCCATTCACCTGCTTAGACATAGCAGATAAAATGAACATCTTTGGTTCATTTTACTTGGAAGTCTGTCATTCCCTGACTTCCCTGTCATGAGGATGATTGATAGCAAGAAGAGCTAGAGTCAAAGAAAAGTTTCTCTGTCAGTCAAACCGATGTTTCTTTAACTGAAGTTAGATGGGCTTAGTATTCTTTTCATAGCCAGCTCTGCTGCAGTTGGTTTTAGATGTGTTGCGAATTGTTGCTTGAAATGTAAATATATAGCATCCTCTTGGCAGCTGCCCACTTCTTTATTGAGAGGGAATTTAGAACTTTAGAATTACAGAGGAGTTTATAATTCTGTTAGGATAAAACATTTTAGAACAATAATTTTAAACACAAATGTTAGTGCATTTTGTAAAGTGAAGGGTAAAGTGTTTTCATTATACATGAAGGGACTTTTGGGCTAGTAATAGATGTAAGTTTCAGCTCAATGCCGGGGGAGTGAAATGTCTTTTAAAAAGTTCATTGGAGGCTTTACATCCAGTCCTTTGGCCCTTGGCATCCCTAATTCAGCTTACCCTGGGGTGCCATCGGACTTCTGGGAGGACTCAGTCGAACATTTCTGTGTTACCTATTTTATTTCTATCCTGCTTTGATTCCTTTTCGGGGGGACGAGGAGGGCTAGACTTTTTTCCTCCAAAATTTCCCTCATGTAAGTAATTTATCACATCAGAACATTCTGAGTATTGCTGGTAATATTTATATTGTAGAGTTTAATGTTCTAGTTTTCATATGTTCTTTTTTTTTAATTCAAATTATTCCCTAAGAAGAAAAAAGGGAAGATTTCTCCAAAGATGGTGGAATTGTCACTGTCAGCTATTACATTAGGTCACACCAGCTTCTAAGCTGTTCAGAGATAAAGGGCTTTTAGTCTTGCTCTGCGTGTCCCGTGCAGTCATGTGACCCTCTTAAGAAGGTCTGTACCCTCTTGTGGCTGTGTTAGAAACTCTTAGAGAAGTTCTCCAAATTTCCCAATCCTGGGTGAGGACACGCCAGGAAAGCAAAGGCATAGCGGGACCCAGTGTAAGTGTTCTTCAGTTGGGAGGAGGAGAGGACTCTCGACTGCCAGAGATGACAAGTCTGGGGAGGAAGTTGTATGGGTAAGGAACTGGTGTTTCTTTTATGTTCTCAAGCACACTGTGATTGCCTGTATTAGCGCGTTTAAATCAACTGTAAAGTTGCTTCTGACACGGCAGTCTGTTTAAACGTAGAGGTAACATGATCACCTAAAGGAATAATAATTTCCGGGTTTTCTTTTTCTCTTTTTTTGTAACATAGTTTGCCTGCCCTCCCTTGTATAAGGTGGTCTGGGAGAATTTATCAGGAAGCTGAGATTTTCTTAATCGAAGAAACTAGTGTTTAAGGCCAGAATAGCTGTAATAGACATAGAGCAGACATTTATAAACCAAGTATTTTCTCTTCTTAAACCAGCGGAGGGTCCTGGGAAATCAAGTGATGTCAGAAAAGAAGAACAAGGCCCCTACTCCGGAATCTGTAGCCACTGGTGAACTGAAGAGAGCCAGCAAAGAAAATCTGAGCTTAGTAAGAAACCATTCCTTGTGCTTCCTCTTTGTATTGCACATTTGTAGAAAGGGGGACAATTGATGTACTGTCTTCTCTTTGTGTTTCTCAGTAAACTACATTTTTTTCTCAATCCTTTTATTTATACTGACGTCTTTCTGTAGGTATTTATTGATTCATTCAACAAACACATTTTGAGTTCAAGGAAGACAGGGCCAGTCATAAGCAGAGAAGACAGATACAGTGAAATAGCTCCATGAACGTAGTGCTGGAGGGAGCACTTCTCACTAGGAGACTCCACAGGGTGGGTAGCATTAGAGCCAGGCGGCCCGGCACTGTGTTACCTGTGGAGGGATCCTCCAGAGTATCTCGGGCATGGTTACTTCATTAAGCCAGCAAGAAAACCAGTTAAGATTAATGAGATATAAATATGTCAGTAAAACTCTTCACATTGAAATAGAACCAGTAAATAACTCCTCTGTTAGCAAAGCCTGTCTGTAGGAATGCCATAGAGTATTGAAGCCACTATAAAATTTTCTTGTTACAGCTGTTGTCTGGGTCTCCAGCTGTCGTGACGACACCGACAAGATTGAAATGGTCTGAGGGGAAGAAAGAGGGGAAAAAAGGTACTAACTGTACTTGTTCTGTGTTCTTACTGAATGTGGTTCCTTTCTGCATCTAGCCAGTCAGTAGCATTTTAAAAATTCCTGGTGCAGTATGGTTGTAGTTAGAAGCAATGTAAAAATTACAAGGCTGGGCCTTGCCCTTGAGTTCACTTAGCAGATGGTTATTGAGCATCTACTCAGCACTGTCCCAGGTGCTGAGGGGCCGAGCTGTAAACACAGGCCCGCCCACTCCCTGTATTCTTGGACAGATGGGACACATGTAAAGTATCTTCAGAGTACTTGTTAAGCAAATTAAAAACAAATATTAACTAATTTGTGAAACCAAGTACAGATACGCTCCATGAACATGGAATAGTTACGCTCCTTTTGGCCGTGGACTTTAGCTTTGTTTATTCAGTGAAGCTTTCCAGATAGGTAGCTCATGCTGACGGACCCTGGCAGTCATATACAGGGTGTTTTTGAGGTTTAGGACAAAGAGGACTATTTAGTGCTGGGACTGCTGGTTGCCCAGGTTTTTCTGGCAAAAGGCAGCAGCTACTGTGCTTTTCTCCGAGGAAGCCATGTGTTTTACTGGAAAGACCAAGGGGTTTGGAGTGAGACCTGATTGGAGTCCTCATTCCTCTGGCTGGGGAAAGCCATCCACCCTCTCTGAGCCTGTGTCCTCCTCTGAAAATGAGGATAATAGTTATATTGACTTGAGAGACTTCTTCTGAGGCTCAATTGAAGTAACGTTTTGGAAGCACATTGTGATTATTTAAGGATAAACAAGTGGTCATAACAAGTTACTAAAGACAACTGGCTGAGACTTGGTCTTGTTTTATTAGGCTCGTGTGGCAGCTGAAGTGGTCTTTGGTTTGACAGGCTCATTTTATCTCTGAGACACAAGCATAATTACTATTGAGACATCTGCAATAGAAAGAGAACAAAAGCCCAATATTTATGGATAAATCTTTATAGTGTTCTAAAAGATTAGATTTTAGTATAGTCTCCTTACTTATCCTTGAATGAATTATCTGAACTCTTTTCTTTCTACCTTGCTTCTGATTTCTAGGCTGGGCTCTTTGATTGAGGCATGTTTGGTATTTGAGTTATGTGTGTCTAAATAGTTCTCCCTATATCTATATATCTGTAAGTCAAAACCAAGCATAAGATATTTTTGAGGGATACATTATTTTGTATCAGTTACACCTTTTGTTGCTTTCATTTTTTTAATGTTTTTTTTTAAAGATTTTATATATTTATTTTTATAGGGAAGGAGGAAGGGAGAGGGGGAGAGAAACATCAGTGTATGATTGCCTCTTGCATACCCCTACCAGGGACCTGGCTCACAACCCAGGAATGTGCCCTGACTGGGAATTGAACCAGCAACCCTTTGTTTCTCAGGCCAGCACTCAATGCACTGAGCCCTATCAGCCAGGTCTCATTTTTGAAGATAATCAAGAAATAGTTAAATCTTTCTATTATTGACAACTCTGGTTTTAGAAGAAATATATTAAAAAATTAAGCCAGTGTAATATAATAATTTACCAAGAAGTGTTAGAGTAGGGATGCTTGACCTGTTAACTGTGGCCTCTTAAGCTCTAATAAAGTTCCTGGTACTGTTGATGTAATTTCATATGTAGGCTCATTTGTGCATTTTTCTGGAGGAGAGAATATGTATTTTTTATTAAATTCTCAAAAACGTTAGTGATTCGGAAGAGGTGAGGCCCACCGATAGTGAACGGCCTTCCACAGGATTAGGCAGTGGCATTTTCATCTCACTCTCTCCCTGGTCACTTCCTCCATCTTGAAACGCCTCCCTTGGCTGCCATGACGGTACGCTATTCTTGTTCTCCTCCTTCCTCTTTAGTTCTCTTCCTTCTCTGCAGTAGCTGCCTGTCGTTTTTGAGAGTAAGCTACTGCACCTCCACCGTTTTGTGCTTTTCAGCACTCTACCTTAAGCTCTTGGCTCACCTCTGCCCTTACTTTTGCCCCTCTTAGCAGCTTGGTCTCCTTTAGCAGCTCAGTTCTGCTGTGTGATAACTGCATCTCCATATATATAAAGTCTCTGTAGTCTCCAATCCCACAGATTTAATTGCATCATTTTTTTACACAATAATACAACCCTCAATTTTATTGATGGTGATTTTAGAAAAGGAACAAATATTTTTTGAAGAAGGTAATGTAATTTAACATCATTTATAGTACTCCAAAAAGACATTTATTTAGCACTGAGTTTCTCAAATTGGCACTCAATAATTCTGTGCTGTGGGGCTGTCATGTGCATTGTATGATGTTTAGTAGCATCCCTGGTCTCTAGCCACTAGATGCCAGTAGTACCCTTCCCCCAGTTGTGACACCAACAACGCTTCCAGACATTGCCAAGTCCGCTGGGGAGGAGCGGGCAAAATCCCTTCCAGATGAGAACTGCTGAATTAGTACCTACTTATTTTGGGGGAGATGGGGAGTGTCCCTGCTCAAAACAAGTTGCTGATCTGGTGGGTCATGGAGTTGATTCAGGGTGACAGTTTGATTAACAAAGGTAAATAGTCTCCTCCCTGTACCTGGAGGCCAGTGTGTTGGGTTCTTAAGCAACGCTTACATGCTACTACTACAGACCTTTATATTTATTTATTGTCAGTATCTGGTATTTAGGGTATAAAAGTGTGTGTGTGTGAGTGAGAGTGTATGTGTGAGTACAGGCACGCACTTACTAATTTCAGCAGTCAGAATCTTACCCATTCTAGACTTCTGGTCAAGATGGTAGCACAGGTAAACACAGCTCGCCTCTTCACACAACCACATCAAATTACAACTAAACTACAGAGAACCATCACTCAGAACCATCAGAAATTTAGTTGAATGGAAGTCCCACAACTACAGAATTAAAGAAACTACATCCATCCAGACTGGTAGGAGGGGCAGAGACACGGAAATGTGGAGTGGTCTGGTCCCACATCCACATGTGGTGGATAAAAATTCGGGAAAGATATCTCAGGAGTGAGGGGTCTGAGACCCACGCCAGGCGCCTCAGCCCAGGGTTCCAGTGTCAGGAAGATAAGTAAGTCCCCATGATTTCTGGCTATAAAAACCATCGAGGATTGAGTCAGTGGAAGAAGCTGCTGGATTCCCAAGCAGTTCCTCTTAAAAGATCTGCATACAGACTTACTCAGCCTCACTCCCTCTGAGCTCCAGCACTGGGGTAGCAGCTTGAAAAGCACTAGTGGCATACAGGGAGGAACTGCAATATCTGCCATCAGGGCGAGAGCTAGGGAACAGCTTTCTCCCAGACAGAATGGCAGGCAGAGACCATTGTTCCTTTTCTGAACCCTCCCTGCCATAGAGCCACAGAGCTATAGAGCCAGCAGGTGAGTACCATATCTGAGACTCCATCAAGCTGGCTTATATTGTTTGCCCAGCCCTGGTGATTCCCTGAGGCTCTACACCACCCAATTTATGGGCCCATCCAAGCTGCTAACAGTGGCTTTTCCATATGAATGGCTTGTCTTGGCCAATCTTCCTAAGTCCTCTCAAGTAGTCAATAGCTGGCCTCAGCGAGCCCCTAGCCCCCATACATCTTGCTAAGTGGACTCATGCCTGACACTAGCAGAAGCTAGCCTAGGTTCACAGCTTGGCTTCACCTGGGAACCTCCAAGCCCAGCACAAGTAGCAGCCATCTCAGATTGCTTTGTAGCTCATGCTGAGTGGCCCTCAGCAAAACATAGGTGGTGGCTGACCTTGGCCTGCACCACCCAGGAACCCCAGGGCCAGTGCACCCAGTGGACAGCTACAGACCATGTCGGAGTACCACCGCCCTGTCCCACACAGCTGATCCTCCATGGCGGGCAGAGATTGGTGGTCAGTGGTTACAGCTAGTCCTTGCAGCTGACTGGCTTGTGTAGATCCCTTGCATTGACCTGCTAATAGCAGTCAAGGCTCAACTACAAGAGAAAAGCATACTCAGCTCACATACAGGGTACACCCTGAGTACCCAGCTTGGGCGATAGAGGAGGCTGTGCCACTGGACCCTACAGAACTGCTACTACATTAAGCCATGATACCAAGATGGAGTCATAGCAGCTTTACCTAATAGAAACAAACACAAGGAGGCTGCCAAAATGAGGAGACAAAGAAACATGACCAACATGAAAGAACAGATCAAAACTCTAGAAAAAGAGCTAAACGAAATGGAGATAAGTAATCTATCAGATGCAGAGTTCAAAACACTGGTTATAAGGATGCTCAGGGAACTTAGTGAGGACTTCACAGCATAAAAAAAATCCAGTCAGAAACAAAGGATACACTAACTGAAATAAAGAACAATATATAGGGAATCAGTAGTAGAGTGGATGAAGCCGAGAATCAAATCAATGATTTGGAATATAAGGAAGCAAAAAACAACCAATCAGAACAAGAAGAAAAAAGACTGAGGGGGAAGTATAAGTAGCCTCTGGGACAAATTCAAGAGGTCCAACATTCTCCTCATAGTGGGTTCCAGAAGGAGAAGAGAAAGAACAAGAAACTAGAATCTATTTGAAAAAATAATTTAAGGAAACATCCCTAATTTGGTATAGAAAATAGACATGCTTCAGGCTTGCTTCCTGAGCAAGCCCAGGAAGCACAGAGAGTCCCAATTATGATGGATGCAAAGAGGCTCACTCCAAGACACATCATAATTAAAATGGTAGAAGTTAAAGATAAAGAGAGAATCTTTTTTTTCTTTTATTTTAATTATATTTTTTAAGTTTCTGATTGCATTCATTCATTTTTACAAAAATATTTATTTATTTTTAGAGAGGGGGAAGGGAAGGAGAAAGAGAGGGAGAGATACACCAGTGTGTAGTTGCCTCTCAAGTGGCCCCCACTGGGGATCTGGCCCGCAACCCAGGCATGTGCCCTGACTGGGAATCAAACCAGTGACCCTTTGCTTCACAGCCCATGCTCAATCCACTGAGCTATACCAGCCAGGGCGAAAAGAGAGAATCTTAAAAGCAGCAAGAGAAAAGCAATTAGTTACCTACAAGGGAGTTCCCATAAGACTGTCAGCTGATTTCTCAAAAGGAACTTTGCAGGCTAGAAGGGATTGACAAGAAATATTCAAAATCATGAAGAGTGGGGACCTACAGCCAAGATTGTTCTACTCAGCAAAGCTGTCATTTAGACTTGAAGGGCAGATAAAGAGCTTCCCAGACAAGATAAAAATGAAAGGGGTTCATCATCACTAAACCATTATTTATTTGTTTATTTATTTTTGGGATCCTCTCTCTTTTTCTTCATGAGTTTGCTTAAAGGCTTGTCAATTTTGTTTATCATTTCAAACACCAAACCATTATTATATGAAATATTAAAGGGACTTATTTAAGAAAAAAAAGATCAAAACTATGATCAGTCAAATGGCAATAAATACAATTTATCAACAATTGAATCTAAAACACAAACTAAGTAAACAAGAACAGACACAGAATCATGGGTACAGAGAGCCTTTTGAAGGTTGCCAGATAGGAAGGGCTGTGGGGGAATGGGTGAAGATGGGAGGGGATTAAGAAGTACAAATCGGTGGTTACAGAATAGCCATGGGGATGTAAAGTACAGTATAGGGAATATAGTAGCCAAAGAACTTTTACGCATGACCCACGGACATGAACAATAGTAGGGGGATTGCCTGAGAGAGTGGGGGTGCTGTGTGGAGGGGGACCAAGGGGCAAATATTGGGAAAACTGTAATAGCATAATCAATAAAATATAATTAAAAAAGAATCTTACCCATTCTAATTTATTAACCAATGTTACCCCACTAAATTCAGTTAAAAGTAAATATAGGCTCTTACCCATTCTTCAAAGCCCAGCCTAGACCCCAACTCCTCTTTGAAACCTCCTTTAGCTAACCCAGCTAGATGTGCTTGTTCCTTTAAACTCTTACTGACTGCACCAGGTGAACTGAAATGCTTACTCATGTGTGTTGTCTGTAACTAGTCTGTCTTCTGGAAGGCGGAGGCCAGACTTGGGGATATACTTGTGGCCTCCTGTCATCTGTTCTTCTCTTCCCCTAAGTGGTGACCATGCCTTGTGTCCAGTTGGTACCAGTGCTGTTTTGTGCTGGTCTCAGCCTGTCATTAACCAGTGTTGTGGTTGGATTGGCTGTTGTGGTTCTTATTATGATTGCAAGATGTCTTTCAGGGATTGCCATCAGGAAATTTTTTGGGAAAAAAGGTTTATTATTTACAAGACCTAGAAATTACACAGCCCACCTCAGGCCACATAGCAAGGCCATGGAGAGAGAGAGAGTGCATTGGCCTAGGGTTTCGTGGACTCAGTCTTCATTGGTGAATTTAAGACATGTGAGTGGGAATTTAAAGGGTGAGAAGAGGAAAAACACGTGGCCCAGATGGTCACTTACTGAAATCAACATCACTGAAGCATAGGAGCCCCAGAGGGAGAGGGCCGGGCTCTTTATCGACTCCTTGTGGCTTGGCAGTGTGTTTATTGGAGGGAGTTGCCTTTGAAGTGGCTGTTTCTTTGAAATGGCTGCCTCAGCAATCAAAGCTTAAGTCAGACACTTGCATTACCAAAAAGAAAAATAACTGTCAGGAATAACACTGCCGTCCACTATGATGCCGAGGCATCAGAGTTAATGGCAAGGACTTTAACTGCCCGGGTAGCTGATATGTTAAAAGTCAGGGGTAGGAGGGCACGTTGTAACCCAGAAAGTGTACATCTAAATAGGATTATAGTAGCAAATTCTATAATAATTACACAGGCTGTAATTTGAAATGTGGCCTGTAGTCATTGTCCCAAACTTGAGGAGTCTTGCAATGAAACTAAGTCAGTGATGTCAGGGGCCCTATGAATCTGTTCAGAGATTTAGGTAATATTGTGAAATGCTTTAACATCTTTAGCTATCTGGTGTAAGCAGGCTTGAACCTGTCCTGAGTTGATAGATGGCTTTAAATGTCATCTGAGCGGTCTCTTAGTTCTGAGAATAGGTCAGTTCAGTCAAAAGGTTGTGTTTCATTTTGGGAAGTGGTTATACAAGTGGTGCAGGTTATGGTGCAGGCGTTTAGTAAGAGGCATATCTATGGAGACAAAAAAAAAGAACAAAGGTTAATAATTGGAGTAGATTATAACCTGTTTCTGAGTTCTGAGGGCAGCCAATCAAGAAGATTACTCCATGCCAAGTTCAAAGCATCTTCAAATAGAATGAGGGCAGGCAGTTGGCAATTGGATAGGCTTTCTTGGTTTGCGTTTTGAATGTCTCTGCTGACCTTTCTGAGTGACTCATATAACAGTAGGTATGAAGATTGTCCACACATGAGCTGTTGTGGTAATTTCTCTGAAGCTCATATCAAGTTGTCCCACTTTAGCTTGCAGGGTTCTGGGCAAAGGGCTGTTTAGTTCTCAGTGTTGCCAAGACAGAAGCATGGTAGAAAAACTGGAAATGTTAGTTTGGAAAGTTGTAGCCAAATATTGCAGGAAACTAGAAGAATTAAGGATCTAGTTCAGTTTATAGGTAGTAAAGAAAACCTCAAAAACAATTAATAGCAAAAATAAATACATATATACATACATACAAAAATAAAAGAAAAGAAAGAAAAATAAACAATTGATAGCACTAGAATCTTGTATCCCCACAGGTGTTATACGGAAACATATTTAAAGTTGATACTCTGAAGACATACCCATTTTAATTAAACCAAGCTTAAATTAGCTTTATTTACCAAAGATTATCCCACATCATATGAACTTGAAAAATACTTGGGTTAGTGTTGATATTTGGGGCCAATTAACTTGCGTAGGCTACAGATTCTTCACCTGTGAAATGGCAAGGGCATCACATCATGCACAGGTTGTTGTAAGGATACAATGTACCATTGTATCATTAGAGTAGTGTTTGGCACAAAATAGGCACTTAATAAAGTGGTAGCTGTTATTGCTGTTAAAATGATGTGTTCATTGTAGTGTTATTTACAATAGCCAAGATTTGGAAGCAGTCCAAGTGCCCATCAGTAGATGAGTGGATAAAAAAGCTGTGTAGTAATATTCCATTGTGTAAATGGAATATTACCATAAATATTGGCCATAAAAAAGGACATCTTACTTTTTGTTACAGTAAGGATGGACCTAGAGGGTATTATGCTAAGTGAGATAAGCCAGTCAGAGAAAGACAAACACTATATGATTTCACTTAGTGGAATCTAATGAACAAAACAAAATAGAAACAGACTCATAGATATAGAAAACAGACTAACAGCTATCAGAGGGGAGGGGCTTGGAGGCTGGGGGAAAAAAAGGAAGGGATTAAGCAGTACAAATTACTAGTTGAAGACTAGCCACAAAGGTGCAGATTGCAGCGTGAGGATTGTAGTTAATAATGTCAAGATAACAGGTATGGGCCGGCTAGGTGCTTGGGGTGGCAGGGGGACCACTCTGTAGAGTGTAGGTTTTCCGACCACTTTGCTGTACATCTGAAACTGGTGCAGAATGGTATGGAATGTAAACTGTGGCTAAAAAAAAAGAAAAAAAGAGATGATGTAATGAACTGAGATTAGAGCAAATGGACAAACTGAGGTTTACTTGGTAGAGATTCATCAATTCTCAATCAAACTTTTTAGAAAATATTAAGTATAGATTCTCTAGCTTTTAGGTGGGATGTTTTCAAAAAGAAATATTTCTAAATGTGCTTAACGCTCTTGTTTCTCTTTCAACCTAGGGTTCCTCTGAAGGATCCAGAGTTCTACTGTTATCCACCCAGAATTTTCTCTGTAGTGGGCCAGGTGTCATTCCCACTCATGGAGAAGCTTGGACCGGCAACTTGCTTGCTGCGTTTTGAATTGTGAAAGTTAATTAATCCTGTGACTTGACTGATACCTCTAACCCCACTCACTGGATGTTTTCTGCAGCCTCTGCCTTCTGAACCAGTGCTAGCAGTCCTCTCTCTCTTTTAATATTATGGGGAAACCACTCACCTGCCAACCCGCTCACACAGCACACGGCACACAGCAAGTGGGTAGATCCAGGCAGACTCTAGTGCTCATTCCATGTATTTGCTTAAGCATATTTTGTTTTTTAAAAATACAAGATTTGTGTTCAACTGCCAGTATTTTTTTTTAAGTACTGTCAATCCTAGTGGATTCATGTTATTTAACTGATAATTTGGATTTTTCTGTTTTGATACTGTTGGGTATTTTTGTTGTCATTTTTTATTTGTTGTTTGTTCATTTTTAAAAGCTGCTTTTGGTATGTGTAACCTAAATGGGCTCCAAGCCAGAAGTCTTTCCCTTTTTTTCACCTTCAGCTTTGGGAAAGCTTTATCTCACGAGGCTGTGTTCCTCAATACCTTGTTTGTGTCCAAGGACTTCATAGCTTTCCCGGAAAGTTTTCATTATTTCTTGGGCCCAAAATTGCAAGGTATTTGGCTTGCAGTATTGCAAAAGGAGAATTCAGAGTGATCTAATATTTTAACAAATGTTAATTATTAAATTGTGTCTCTCCTTTCCTCCACTCTCTCTTCCTCCCCCGATCTTCTAACCTTAGTGATGCCAAATAATGGTGTGATTGCCGAATTTGTGTCCTTTGTTTGGTTTCCTCTTGAACATGGAGCATCTCTGGCGCCCGCGTGGGGCCAGCCCTTCTGTGCCAGGTCACTGTGATTCCAGGAAAGTCTCTGACTGCCATATGGAGGTTTGCTGAAATATCTGTGTGGTAGAAGCTGGGGTGTGACTAGGATGGGGCCGGCTGGCTTGATGTCCAGGACTGCCCCTCAGGGTGGGGCTATACTGTACCCTTGTGAGGCATCCGGCGGGCAGGCCAGGCTGTGAGAGCCAGCTGGAGTCAGGGGGAGGAGGTGCGCAGCAGCAGCCTCTGCACAGCTGAGAGGGTTTGAAGGAGAGAATGTTCTCATTTGGAGGCAGTGTGGCTTGTCACCAGAGTTCTGAGAAAGCAGCCCAGCCTCTCTCCTTGTAATGGGCCCAAGGAGGATGTGGAGAGGGGGCTAGAGCTGGAGCTTTGGCTGGGTGGTGATGTTCACAATGTTTGAGGTGAGCAGTGGTGTGGCTTTGATCTCGTGTAAATACTCAGGGCCCGGGGAGCGGCTGTGGTCAGAGAGAAGGTGCCCTTTGTGCCTGCTCTGCGAGGCTGTGCAGCTGTTCAGCCCATGTGCTGGAGCTGAGTCAGGCCCTCTGTGGGGAAGCAGCTGCCCAGCAAAGTCTGTTTGGCTGACCCATGTTAGACTGTCGGAAATGCTGCGTTACTGCTGAAATGAAAGGCAGCCCTGGGAGCGGAGCCGGGTTTCGTGTCTAGAGCCAACCCTCTTTTCCATGCATACTGTTTCTTTTGCTGCCGTAACAGCAGTTGTGAAGAAAAAAAAAAAAAGTAAAATTTGGCCTTCCAATTTGATGGATTGTGAACAGTTGATGGTTAGGAGTAGAGACCTGTGTATAAGCCCCTTTCTCTAGAGAAGTTTTATTCTTAAAAGTCCTTATTGGCAACTTCAGTTGTGCAGGTTTCTATTTGGCTTTTTTCCTTGTTGAGAAAAAATGGAATTCCTTGCACCAGCTGTCAGTGAATTCAAAGGGAAACCCCTTCGGGTGCGACCAGACTGAAGGAGTGTTCTCCCCTCACTCCACACTGGGTCCGCCTGTCCCACCTGGAGAGGTGCGGACGTCACACGTGGTCTGGCCTCAGGCGGAGGGAGCAGAGCCGTGACCTGACTTCCCCTTGTCACTGTGTTTGTCCCGTGGTCCTGCTGGAGGGCGGCACCTGGACCGCAGGCGGGACCGCCTCTGACCGTGCGGGGTCGAGGGTGCTCTGGCGCTGGGAGGGAGGGAGGTGGCTGTCGCGTGCGTGTGCTGTTCTGTAGCTTGTCCCGGGGCAGCTTATGTCTGCATTTGGGTGTGTGTGTTTCATTTAAGTTATTTATTAAACTTGCTTTCCCTTGCTTTAAGGGTGTGATAGGTCATTTTTTAATATAAGCTGTGATCCAGTTGGAATCCAAATTTGAGAAATAAAATAGCATAACCATCTGCCTTGTAATGTGTAACTGTTCTAATCCTGTGGAACCTCATGGAGAACTCACAAACAAAAACCCTCTCCATTTGCCACAGCAGGGTACTGTCTCCCTTCTGACTTGGTGGGCGGGCATTTTTGAGTCAGTATTTAACAATTTCTTAAATCTATAAGATTTTAAAAAATGTTTCCTTTTCATGTTGGAACAATCTCTTTGGAAATGCCTCTTCTTCTGGCTTGTGAAATTGCATTTCCTCCTGGGGTCAGTCGAGAAGGGTTTGCTGTGGGTCGGCACAAGGCAGTGTTCTGTGCCAGAGGGCTCAGGTGTGAGAACGCGGACCTCACTGGTTCAGGTCTGCCCTGGGTGAGCCGCACTGGTTCAATCAGTGAAAACCAGTTTCTTACCTTTTACAATGATGGACTTTTGCCCTGGGACCAATGAATCTGGCTTGAAAAACTCCCTTGCAGCAGTGAAAGGATTTGGAGATACTGATTATATCTGAACGGCCAACATATTAAAGGAGCTATTACTCAAGTGAAACCACAGCTGATCCACTGCAAGCTCTTTACCTCAAACGCCCTTCCAGAGTCAGTCAGCGCTGGCAAGGGAGCCCCCCCGGGGAATGGGATAGTGCAGGGCTGTTGACTGCGGCGACCACTGGGTGTTCAGAGGTGGTGGTCTGGTTGGCCTGTATGGAAGCCAGTTGATTCCGGAGTGCCAGAGCAGAGCCATTCTCTCCTCCCAAAAGGCAATGTTTCTGTTCAGCTCCCCTCACAGGAGCCTCTGTTAGGACATGATGTAAAATCCTGCCTTCTAGGAGAACCTGTGGCCATGGGGCTGTGCCCCACCGTGACCGGCGATGTGGCCATGCATAACTGGGGAAGCCGTCTCTGGGATCAGACTTCCCAGGACCTCATCTGCATCTTTACTTCATGTAGGACCTTGCACAGATGCTTGAAGCTGATGGCTCTCATTCTGGAGTCTTTTCTTTTTCTTTTCTTTAAAGATTTTATTTATTTATTTTTAGAGAGGGAAGGGAGGGAGATAGAGAGAAACATCAATGTGTGGTTGCTGGGGGTCATGGCCTGCAACCCAGGAATCTACCCTGGCTGGGAATCGAACCTGCGACACTTTGGTTCACAGCCCGCGCTCAATCCACTGAGCTACGCCAGCCAGGGTTCATTCTGGAGTCTTTTCTAAGTGGAACACCTTTCCCCAGGAGAGTCTCATCCCTACCCTGAAGTCTTTGTGCTGAAGATAGAACCCAGTCCCAAACCTGGATACCAGCATCTGGCAGGATTGTCCTAGATTTGGGGGAAGATTTGGGTTGCTAAGATACGTAAGTTTTCCAGACCAGTGGTAATTAACCCAGTCTAAAACTGCTATAAAAATCTGGCTTTCTAGACAACTAATGCTGAGAGTTGATGGAGGGGCTAGTGAGGCGGTGGCGTACATAATAGCTTGAGTGCTTGGGTTACCATGGAAACTGGAGTGTGCAAGGCCACAGCCGCTGCTAAAGAGCCATGGAGCACTCCCCCAGACATGTTTGGGGACCAGCAGAACCTGTTGGGAAGAACTCCCCCGCGCTGGGGTCCTTTGTGCATAGCAAAAGCTGCCTTTGCACTTATCCCTGAGTGTGCTCAAGAGGAACAGGGTTCTTTTAACTCTCGCCATTTTTTTATTCTTGTTTGACTATTTATCCTATATATATGTAATTGTAAAGAAGTAATCATATGCACTGTCTTTCTTTTTTATTCATGTAATATTCTGAAATTAAATTTCTTTTGTTTCATATCCATAGGCTTGGACTGGTTTCTTCATTCACACTTTGACTCATGGATTATTTTAAAGAGAGATTGCCTTTACAAAAAATTCCCCCAGTATTACCAAGGTATTATTGACAGAGATGCTGCCTCTTGTTCCAAGAGCATGACACCCCAAAGAAAAGCTTCAGCTTGTTTCCCTGCTGGAGGGTAGGCTCAGGCGCAGGGAGTCTTGGCTGGTAGGCTGTGAGATGGGAACCTCCCGGAATCCAGAGCTCCCTGATTCCCCAGGGCTGGGTTTAGAATGCTCTGCGCAGGTTTCAGTTTCTCACATAACCCTTATTTCCTCATTTAAAAATAAAGAGTGGTGTGTACAGTAGTAGTAAAAACCAAATGGCACTTTCATCTAGGGTGGCAGGTTGTAGCGTTCAGACACCTCTGGTTCTCTGGTTCTCTGGCTGTCTGTGGTTTCTGTCACTCGGGTGTGTCTTCCTGTCCGTGAGGTGGGGCAACAGCATCTAGTCTCAGTGGTGCCGGCTCTCAGATGGGAGGGCTTAGCACAAAAGGTTTTCATTTGGGGTCTGTGGGTGTACTTTAGGATGTTGTCTGCCCTGTAATTCTACGTAAAATGTTGTGTACATTTGAGTTTTTCTAAGGGAGAGATTTTAAAGCTTCTGCAAACATCCCAGAGGAGCCCTTGACCACTGAAACACTGAGAACCACCAGCCTTCTGCAGCGCCTGGCAGATGGCAAGTATTCATTAGATGTTAATTCTCTCTCTGCCAAGGATAAATTTTATAATCAGCAGGTTATTGATGCTGACATTGTTATTTTTGATAATAAAAGAGTTACTTAAATCTGGAATAGGGGAAAAAAATAAAAGCTCTGCAGCTGTCCCTACTCCATTACCCACCCGCCCTGCATGTCCGCGCTCCAGGTGCTGCCCCTGACGGCCTGTCCCTCTGTCTCCACCCCCGAGGACCTGCTCGCATTGTTCGCTGAAAAGAAAGGAGCCAGCTCTGTGACTTGCAAGTGAAGCACGGAGAGACTCGTACGAGACAGTACACGAGGAACTGGGGAATGCAGGAGAAAAGAGAAGGGGGTGGAAGGTCAGGACTAATTTTGAAAATTGGGGGGAATCAAAATGCCCAGCAGAGGGCTGAGCACACAGTCATTAAAAATCGAACCATAGAAAGGAATGAAGAAGCAGACATGCATTAAACGGCAGAAAGGAAGGTGAAAAACCCAGAACTGGGAAGGGTTTCCCATTGCCTCCCCTTCTGCCCAGCCAGTGCCGTGGCCTTTGTCCCTGTGGTGGGCGGCCCACGTTTGTTCTTACCTACGCTCCTGAATTAGCAGCATATGGGAGTGGGACTGGCGAGGAAGCCTGAGCTCCGGTCTAGGGGGTTATGGTGTGCAGTATACAATGCTTTTGCAGGTGCTTCTTTTAAGTCCCAGCCCCTTGACTTCCCTATAACATGCAAAAACCAAACACAAAAACTGGGGTTGAGCCATGGCCAAGTCGTGGTCCAAGTGGGTCATTGCCTTTATCAGCATCATCCAGTGCCCGGATCCTGGGAGCCTTCTGCGTTGGACTCAGGATGGAGGTTAGCAGGAGGGGCCACTGACTCACTGCCTTTTAACATGTTTAGTGCTATAGTATGAGGAATGCTTAGTTCAGTTGGACCATACCTGTGGACAACAGAGAAAGGAAAGACTGAAAATTGTGAGTGCAGAAGCCACGCCTCAACACCAACCTATGGAAGTGGGGACTGCTTTTATTATTTTTATTTTTTAAAGATTTTACTTATTTATTTTTAGAGAGAGGGGAAGGGAGGGAGAAAGTGAGGGAGAGAAACATTAATTAGTTGCCTCTTGCACATCCCATCTGGGGACTGAACCTGTAACTCAGGTATGTGCCCCAACTGGGAATTGAACGGGCGACCTTTTGCTTTGCAGGGGGATGCCCAGCCAAGCCAACTGGGCCACACTGGTCGGGGTGGGGTGTTGCTTTTAAGAGCTCCTTCTGCCCGTGTGCTTCCCAGTGTTCAGTATTGGAAAGGAATTATGATGGGGCCTCTACAGAGTTCAAGACTCCTGTGAATGAAAAATTAATACCACAATTTACTGAGTACTTACTGTGTACTGAGTTTTGTGCTATCCAATTAATTCCTGTGTCACTAAAGTGATACATCTCTGTGAAGAATTGTTATCTCCAATTTCATAGTTGAAGACACACATGAAGAGTTTAACGTATCCGTTATTGGCTAAAAAGTGGCAGAGACAAGACTAACGTTCAGGGCCGCCCGGCTTTGGGGACTGTGGCTTCATGCAGGGGTTACACGCCCCAGCGTCTGCAGGAGCCAGGCAGGGGAATGTAAGGTCATGGAAACAGCAACTGCTTGAAGAGATTTAAAAACACCACGGAGCCAAGCATAACTCTTGTACGGCCTGGGTTCGGCCCACAGGTCCCTCGGCACCCTCTGCACGGCGCTGTGCCGCTCGTCTTCTGGCTGGGTCCCCGTCCACACAGGGTGCTCTCCAGGGATCTCTGTTCTGGCTCGGGGGTGACAGCCACAGCGTGCCTTCCAGGGTGGTGGTCCAGCACAGGCGGGCGGGTGACCCCAACCGCTGGGAGCCACTTTGGGAGACTCTATCCTCGTTTCCTGGCTCTCCCCCGTGTACTCTCTCTCCCCTGTGGCGGCCTCCAGCCATCGGCGGGCCAGTCTGAACTGGAATGCGGCCAGTCTGAACTGAGATGTACTCTGAGTGCGGAATACACCCCAGGATTCAGACTCGGCAAGAAAAAGAGACTATAAAAATGTCTCAATAACTTTTTATATTGAAATTATATTTTGGATATACAGGTAATTAAATCACACCACTAAAATGGATTTCACCTGTTTGTTTTTACCTTAGCATGACTGCTAGAAGACATTCAGTTACATGCATGGCTCATGTGATGTTGCCATGTTCCTGAGCCTCTGGGGCTCTCATCCTCACTGTCCTTTCTCCCCCAGAAGCTGCTCCTCAACTCCATGGGCACCTGTGGCTACACCTCTCCTTTTCCTTTAGTCCTGAGACCTCCCTGAAGAAGGGAGGGGAGGTCAAAAGAAAACCAGCTAGCTGAAGTTTTACCTGTGGGCTCCTTTGGGATTGGCTCCTGCCT